AGATGCTGAAGGACGGATTATAAATCCATGCTGAATTTTATGAAACATTGACTATAGAGCAACGGTCATGCTGTGTGTATGTGTCCTTCACATATCTTGAAAAGCTTTTATCCAGTGGACTTCACTTGCTGGGGATGGAGGGACATGCAGTGTCTAAGTTGGTGCAAAGTGGACATGCAGCTCTTTAAATAAAAAGAAAATTTGAATCAACAGGCAATAGTGCTCTGTGCAGAACTTAGGTATACGGGCTTTGTGGTCTGAATCCAGCATAGCTGGCCAAGTACACTATTCTATACTTCCTTGGAGTTAAAGAAAGATGTGCTGTTGGAGGTTGCGTTGTCAATAACTGCATTGCCAATTAAATTGAAAGGTAACCAGTTTTCTCCCAGATTATTACATCTGTTTTTGAAGCAAAATTACCTCTTCAATCACAGTCCACGGACTTGGAGGATCGTCAAACAAACACAGGACTTTTCCCCAGTGTGTCTTGTGTAAAATAATAAGTTAACGTTCTTTTTTAACACTTATTTAAGCAAAAACCATGTGTTTCCTAACACAACCATGTAGTTTGTTTGCAGTTGCCTTTTTTGTTGATTTACATTTACCACCTGGCTAAAACTGTACAGTAATCTGAGAGGAAATAGTCTTTAGTCTTTAGAGGACAGGGTTTTATGCAGGACATGAACCCAAGTGCTTTGACCAGGCTTCTTGATGGCTTCTCTAAGACATTGTTATATGGATCTTAAACTTGTGGACTGGTGAAGATGGAATGGATTCCATTCAGGCTTTGGTGTTGCATCATGTTATCATGCTCTATAGATGTTCTCCAAAGCTGTTACTGCCTCTAATTTTTTTCCAAGAGTGCAGATTAAATTAATGAAATAAACAACACGGGTGTCGCATGTCCAAGGACCAGCATTTAGGGGGGCCAAGCGATTGGAGTGCTTTGAACTGGTAACCTCTCTGAATGGTCACTCGCCATTTGGCTGTATACACAATTAGATGGCCAGCCCTAGTTGGCTGCCTAGTATTTTGGCAGCAGAGGAGGCTGAAGTACTTTATAGTACAACAAAGTCTGAGAGGAGAGCAGGGTGGATTGAGCAAAAGGCCAGATGTTGAGTCATGGGTGGACACTTATTCTGTCTTCTAGTTGCCATCATTTTTCCATTCAGACTTGTACATTTATTTATTGTGAAAATGCACATTTTGTCAAAACAAGTGTGTCTAATATCTTGTTAGATTAGGCTTCTTAGACATTTTTCCCCTTTTCTTCAAGTTCGAACTGAATCAAAGCATAGAGAGTGAACGAGTGTGAAAGATGTTCGGCAAATTGAAAGGTGACATGTTGAGCCATCGTGGACAACGGAGTGAGAATGAAAGTTATTTGAGAACCAGGATAATGGTTTATATCTCTGCAAAGTCTTTAAAGGGCCCCTCTTGCAATGGGAAACTTGTGCAGTGTCCCAAATATAGAAGTAAAAACCTTTGAAGCCAAAAGCTACATAACTGTAAGTGTGCCGAAAGGAACGTTGACATGGCCTGTGTGCTTCACAGTGTCAGCAGCACATACAGTCCAAAGCTTTGTCGTTCTCTGGCCGTTTGCCCCAACATGCTTTCCAACCTCCCTTCTGGGAGCTTCTCCCACTAAGTAATCGATTTTCTCTTTGCTCATAAGTGAGCTGATGCCAAGCAGCGAGCTAGAGGCTCAGCTTCACTCCTTTCCAAAACACGCTTTAAGTGTCCGTGATTTTTTCTTTGTGTGCTTTCACGTCATACAATGACATCCCTGGGGAGACAACGTACTGACAAGCCCTCGTCTTCAGTGAGCTGAAGTGAAACCGAAGATTGGGTTTGTTCTTAACTCGCTTTTTTAAACACAGTCCCAAAGGAGAGCAAGAGGCAAAGATGGGAATAGACAAAGAAGAAGTTTCAGTTATGTAACCTCATGGGATCAGTATGAATGCTAACACGTTAATCAATGTTTGACCCTGAAAGACTGTTATTCAATTCACATCTTTTTATCCTCTTCAGCGCTACAGCCGTTTTTTAGCCGCCTGCAAGCAAATTGCACACCCACGATAAAAAATGTTATAACTCTGCAATCATAAGGTCGATTTGAATAAAGTGTTATAATACAGGGAGGTATCCAGATGTGTAAACATCAGTATATACGTTTAAGTCAAACTCAAGCTGGCTCACTGCACAAATGACAAAGTATCAGGTTCGCCTAAAATTAACATTCTCTGTGCAAAGGATAATTTTGACAAAGTGAAGGACACACTTTTAGAGATGCTTTTAGTACAGGCAGTTCAGGCGAGATTTCCAAAATTAACATTTGGGCACATTTTGGCACCCTCTGTTCCATTTAAATTTGATCATAAAGCAAACTACATATTTTACTTGTATTTGACTACATATATTCATTACATGATGATACAGTAGTTTTAGGCTTTTTTTATTTTTATTTTTATTTATTTAATTAGATTTTTTTCAACTTCGATTGGTTGATGTTGGTTGATATCAGTGATAGACACATTAATGGAATCGTTAGAGCCTATAGATATCGAATAATTAACAACCAATAATATCATGACATCCGTAAATCAATCTGAGACTTTTAGCGATGAAGCGATAGGGTCTGTGTGCATCACACCTGTCATGCTAAATTCCTAAGCCTGCCCTCTTCTTAGTGGGTCGATCAAATGCAATGGATTTGATTTTACGCCACTCAAATGTTCCTTTCCACATTGGCATTTTTCTTTTGTTTCATCGATATCTGCTACAAAAGATAATTTTGCCCGAGGGAGCCCTGCACCTCATCTAATTTGGTATGGCCCTAAAGTTATTTTGAAGGCTCATGGAGGGTTTTATCCCCTTATATGGCAACATTTTAGACGGTTTCAACCTTTCAAGATTTGAAAAAATGTGTGTGAGCACTTTGGGGAATTCATTTTTACCCACAGTTCTCCACAACACAGAGAATTTCTGTTGAGCACACTCAACCCCTGTGTCATCTGCTGTACATTCATCATGTGCTGAGAAGTTACTCTGCACAAAGTCAATATTAGTCACTTGGAGCTTGGGGAATCCTCTTCTCTCTGAACAGTAATTTATTTTCACTATGCAAGAGTCTGTAGTATCGATGTTCCCGCTTATTTTATTGCTATGGGCTGTTCATGGGTGCTTAGGCTCGAATTCACATTCTCATTGAAGTCTCTGTTTAATGGCTTTATAACTGCCAAAAGCCTCATTAACATCCCTTTGGTTATGTAATCTAGTCTTTTTCTGTAAAACATAATAACATGCTCTGTTCACTGTAGGGGGTCGATAGCATTTACACTACAACATAAACCTTGTATTTTAATAATAATCAAGGTAATAGTTCACTAGTATAGCATACTGTAATTACTTCTATAACTCCTGACAAACATATTTGTTTCATTCACGTCTAAATGCTCTGCGACGTCTATGTTAGCTAGTCGCTAATTTTGTCTGTTAGTTGCTCTGGTGACAGAGGTCGAACACTCAGATGTATGATGGTAACATCATTAATTGGCCAATATCACAAAAGTAAATGCTTTTAGATGAAGGTCAACGCTTTGATATAAGCTTGTAGGTTCATGTTAGTTGTTTAGTCATAATGTGCTACTACATCAAGGAGTCCGCTGTGATTGTCTAGTGATTCATGTTTACTTCCTGTTGCAGCCATGATCTTGCCTGTCAATTTAATACTGTCATAAATTCTGTTGCTTGAGATTGAAGATTGGCCAATTTATTCATGTTACAGTTTTTTCTGCTGGTTTTCACTTAGTTGCAACTACCGCTTCACCACAAGTGTAGCGGTAGTTGCAACAGCAAATCAGTTCAAAGAGCAACAATTTTAGTGATTTTTAATACAGTATATCTACTTATGATTAAAAACTAGCTAACCAAACCAAATGTGCCCCTTGACAAACCCAGCAACTGTATGGAGAAAGTTCCCTCAGTCGTCATAATTGGATTCACTTGTATCTCAGCTCCCCTCTTGTTTGTGTGTCATCGCTGTTTTAGGAAGTCATTCATCAATCTGTGGATCTCTTCACTGAATTAAAGTGTGCTCTACTTAAATGGAAAGGACCTGTGTTCCATGGAAAAGTCCACTGGGTTCCACAGCATAGAACGATGACAATAAATTACACTATTGTAAGTTCACCCTCGAAGTAACGGTCCTTGACAGAAAGAAATGAGAGTTTGGTGGGCATGGACTTCCCTGATCTGCACAGATGGCCCAGCATAGCCTTAGAATGTATTTTTTGGTGCTCACCATTAAGGGATGGTTTGGTTGTATGAGCTACTTTTCTACTGTATTACTTGGAGTTTGGAGAAACAGACAGTAGAAGCAGCAACACATATTTTGTAATTGAATGTACCCAAGCTCCGTTGTCATGTACGTTGAAGATGAAGATTAATAATTATCCCCAAGCTTGCGCCCATTGTTAGACAAGTGTACCTCAGAGTTGTTATATTATTGGTAAAAAATCTCCCTGTGTAACATTTCCCCCCAGCTTTGTGTAAGTGCTGATTACAGTGTCATCCTCGTGATGAAATGCAAAAATATGGCCTGTGTCTGTGCCCGATCACGGTCAGAGGTCATTATATTGTCAACCACAGCTTCGCCCAGAGGTGGGGGGGCAGCTCTACATGCACCCTGCTGTCACTTGAATGCCCCTCTCGCTCTCCCTCCCTGTCTCTCCCGGGCTTTCAGCTGAGGCACAACGCGATGATGGGATTCTCAGATGGAATTGAAATCTCGTCCCACAGCTGTCACCCATGCAAATTGCATTGTCTACAGATTCTATCGCTGACAAAAACCAGCAGTCAGTTATTGTCTGATGCCTTCTCATTCCTGTTTTTGTTACGGTGTCACCATGGTGTCATTATCCGTGACACCGCTGCCTCTCTTGTTAATCTTTTCAGACAGTCATCTTTTAATCCCTCTCTGTGTCTTCATTTTTCTGAAGGTTTACCGCCACTCCTACATGGCCTCCTACAGTATCTACAATATTCACACACGGTAAGGGCTGCTGTCTACCGTGTGAGCTAAAAAACACTGCTGTCATCAGCGAGACGACACGAGTTGTAAACAGTGTGCGATCGGTAAAGGCTAAGTGCAATCAAAGTATATGCTGTTCACATATGCATGAAATAAGGGGATTTTCTCAATTACAATTCCAACGACAGCATGCAGCTGCAGGCACAGCGCCCACGCATTGGCTGGAATTTGAACTTTTTAAACTTTTTATTTTTTTCTGAATACTACAGTATTGTCCCATGTCTCGGCTGTGTGCCAGGGTTTTCATCAGACCGAGTTAAGACGTCTGTGTCCTCTCCAACACGCAATTCAGTAAATTGCCACCCTTCTGTAACTTTTGCTAAATTAAATTTAGGTTTCTGTTTGAAATGTAAATGTATGTACAGGCAGTTTTAACTGGATTACTGGGCTACATGGATTTACCATCACAGTTTAAGAAAATCTCTCAGTTAGTACCGTTGAATACATACATTACGAAGATAATGTGGGCTCATTCACTGGTGGCTCTTCATAACCGTGTCAATAATGCTTTCAAAAGCTGTGGACCAGCTCTGATTCAGACAGCCTGCCAGTGCCTTCACTTCTTCCTACTTTTTTCGGCTGATGGGATTTGCCTTTACACAAAGCTATGTGATCGATTCCTCAGATATTGTGCCTGGGAATCACCAGGGCATCACTCTATCATGTTCTTTTCGTTTTGGTCATTTGGCTGCTGATATCACTCTTGGTCTGTTGTCAACTCCAGCAGATTTGAATTTGCCCGTTGTTCTTTTTCGGACAAAAGAAACTCACCCAGCAATAACTATATTGCAGGGGAAACTGGCTCAAAGGATTTGAACACTATTTTCATGTTAGTTTCCACTTTTTTCCTCTTACACCAGCAGTGTACCCAATTTTATTTCATTTTATTAAACGTTTGCTGTGTTTACATTACATACCATAGTGTGTATGTGTATTTCAAACTATTTTCATTGTTAGTTTTTTTCAAGGTTTTGTTTTCTAGTTCAATATCCCCAAAACTATATTCACTTTACTATGATGTAAGTTGTGAATGAGCACATTCAGAATTTTGAACAACCTTGAACATTTTGCATTTGGCTTGAAAGAGCCACCAAACGTTTGTGATGCCATTGTTTGTTGTTTTTCCTTCAGCGAGGTTTGGGAGCTGGATCCTCCTGAGGTGGTGAACTCGGTCCTGCAGTACGCCGCCTGGGGAGTGCAAGGCCAACAACTGGTGAGAACACACAAAACAACATTCACCAACCGCAACCTGCCGTTAAGCTCCGCCTTACTTTGCAAGGGGTATGAGCGAGCGAGTGGTGTACCGTACGCTCACATGCACTAAAAGGTACATGCACAGGCGGCCCGCCCGTGTCACAAAGCCCAGAAAAAGAGAAAAGGGAGGAAGGGAGCAATTGGGTTGGCCGGTCATTCCGTCGTGTTTACTTTGTAGGAATGTACAAGGCCAACATGTATTCCTGGCCAATGAGCTGGCAATTACAACCAAATGATGACAACACATTAAATCAGTAAAGTTGTTTTTAGTGGAATGTGATTTTAATTCAGAATTCCCCACTTTACTCACAATGTACCTCCATTTTGTTGGACCCCAATTAGATTCAAATTTTCTCCAATCATACATTTCCTTTTTCTTTTATTTATCTACACCGGACAGATGGGGAGCAAAAAAAAGGCAAAAACACCGGTTGGCAGTTTTTTCCATATTTGCACATTTCAGCGTGTAATATTTGGGCATAAATCAAAGACTCCATTAAGAAGTCATTATGGTGATAAGGAGGTGGGAGCTGGTAGACAGATGGGAAGGCTCCGCTCTCAAGGAGCATGCATAGCCATCATTAGTCAGAAGTGTGTCGTTGGAAACACTGACATAATGTGTGTGTTTTGCAAGCGTTTGTATAAGAGCCTTTAAATTGACAAACTATTTCTGGATGACTCTGTTACTGATAAAAACGTTTGGAGAAATTAGGGCTTTTTCCCTAATGATTTTAGAAGCACATATATATTGACTATAGTTGTTGTTATGAGATATATCAGAGTGTGAGACCCTATTTGTTATGTACAGTTGTGGTCAAAAGTTTTACTTGTAAAGAACATAATGTCGTGGCTCTCTTGAGTTTCCAGTTATTTCTACAACTCTGATTTTTCTCTGATAGAGTGATTGGAACAGATACTTCTTTGACACAAAAAATATTCATGAAGTTTGGTTCTTTTATGACTTTATTATGGGTTAACAGAAAAAGTGATCAAATCTGCTGGGTCAAAAATATACATACAGAAGTGCTAATATTTGGTTACATGCCCCGTGGCCATTTTCACTTCAATTAGGCGCTTTTGGTAGCCGTTCACAAGCTTCTGGCAAGCTTCTTATTGAATCTTTGACCACTCCCCTTGATAGAATTGGTGCAGTTCAGTTAAATTTGACGGCTTTCTGACATGGAGTTGTTTCTTCAGCATTGTCCACATGTTCTCAATAGGATTTAAGTCAGGACTTTGGGAAGGCCATTCTAAAACCTTTAGATTATCTTGAAGAATTTGAAGGTAATCCTCCTTCATTATCCCATTTACTCTCTATAAAGCACCAGTTCCATTGGCAGCAAATTAGCCCCACAGCATAATACTACCACCACCGTGCTTGACGGTAGACATTGGTGTCAAAGGCCTCACCTTTTCTCCTCCAAACACATTGCTGGGCATTGTGGCCAAACAGCTTGATTTTTATTTTGACTGACCACAGAACTTTCCTCCAGAAGGTCTTATCATGGTCCATGTGATCAGCAGCAAACCTAAGGTGCCGCTTTTGGGGCAAGGGCTTCCTTCTTGCACGGCAGCCTCTCAGTCCATGGAGATGCAAACATGACTGAAACTGAAAATGTTCAACCATGCTGGGAAAGGAACTACTTTACATTTTCCAAAGTTACTTAAACTTAAAAACTGTTTTGACTCAATGCAATGGCATCATTAATCTTACTGTCTTTTTGTGTACATCACATGGCTGATTTTACTCGCCCCTGAGTATAAGCTTTACCCATTTTTTACAGAACTCTTCTGTTTGATAATCATCGCTCTGAACCTTTTGGCACATACATAGACTGCCTTCTGTACTGATGATATCTCAATGCCAGCAGGAGGCCGTGCAGACTGGGAGTTTGTGTCAGTGCAGAGAGAGATGAAACAATATGTAAGATCACACGAGGCCACAGAATTCAGGCATGTTGGAAAGCCCAGACCACTATTTCCTGTTTCATTTATGTGCTTCAAATTGTTTGACGCTGACCAATGAGTTATTAGCTCGATTTTTCTATGTGGAAATTACAGTAGCTCTCTCCAGTATCAAGTTTTTTAAAGTTTCTTAAGAATCACAACAATCCAGTGATTGTCGTATGCACATTCAAACAGGGACTATAAGGGTATTTGCCATGATTTTAATGAATGCAATATGACATAACGCAACTAATGGCCAAAAAACAGTGTCAGACTTTAAATAAACTTTGAGGCAGTGTTCTGGGTTGGTAATTGGATTGTGACGTCCATACATATAGAAAGAACAGAAAGAGTAGACCGGCACTAAAACCATTTACTACTCCATATAGAATAGAATAGAATAGTTTGGATGCTTGAGCAGATACTGTGTGTGTTTAATACAATAACTGTTAATCGAATAATAGACTTTTGAAGCCTGAAATCTGGCTCCTATACTATGCTTGTACAGCTATGCTGCAGTGCTCCTGTCCCTCACTGATCCGTTCTTGCCCTGCAATTTAAGTCGCCTTTGTGTGCTTACTCTCCACAGATCTACATCTTTGAAAATAACATCTACTACCAATCAGATGTCAAGAGCAACTCTCTTCGGCTAACGTCGTCAGGGATGGAAGGCATCGTCTTCAATGGGATCGCCGACTGGCTCTACGAAGGTACATGTCACCTATATACTGTATATATGTACCTATATACACATCTAGCCAGAAAGTGCAGCTAGACCTTTTTCTGGTTGATGGAACCTGACAGAATCCCAATGACAAACAGGAACATGTCAGATAATGTCAGATATAGACGGGTTGAGACAGTTCTCAAAGCAATGATCATAACATCTCACTTTATTTTCAAGTGTTGTCAGACTCTCTCATTAAGCCTTAAATGCCTGTGTTCAGAAACATTACCTTGTAAAAGGCAGTGTTTAACTATGCATATTGTTTATTCTTGTGCACATATCTCCCCACTGGTAGTAAAGGGGTTGCTTTATGTGTCTAAGTAAACACACACTGTATGCATTTAGCCACTCTGGACAATCTCCGGAGAAAAGAACATATTAAAATGTAATGAAAAGGTAAGTGGAAGCAGTGAATGCCCTGTTTCCTTCATTTTTGAGGTATAATACCGTTTGTGTATATACAGTGGGTAATTCTATCTAATAAAAATTACAATACAATTATGCACGTACAATCACTTGAAATAAATGGATCGTATAAACACCTACTTTATATGTTACAGTGAAACAAATCAATCATTAGCAGAAGGTTAGGGATATATTAAGGAGGTTGTTACAGCAATTATTATAGATATAGATTGATACAATTCATATAGTCGCTGTGTTCCCAACATTCATAATTGTGACACCGATGAATGGTTATTGAATTGGTTCTAACACTATCCTCTTATATGTACTTATTGATGGGCATATCTGGAGCCGTTTTGTGTTTCATGGCGATAATACTCATTCTAATCCTTAAACGTCAACATTCATTCTGATAAAATAATGTGTCTCCTTCTGAAACAGAGGAGATTCTTCGGACCCACGTGGCACACTGGTGGTCCCCTGACGGAGAGAGGTTGGCCTTCCTGGTCCTCAATGACAGCCTGGTGCCCAACATGGCTTTGCCTCGCTTCACTGGCATGACATACCCCAAAGGGAAGCAATACCCATACCCCAAGGTAAATATTAATCAGAGGACAAAGTCATAATCTCACCGCACAGTTACAGGACAATTATCCATGCCGGTTGGACCCGAGCATCTCCCATTGTTTTACAGAACCGAGCAAGAAGTTCCAAGCTGACAATTTTGTACTCATCACGAACAAATTAGACAATGCTTCAAAGAAAAAAATCACCGTTGTGTGTCATTTTACACCCTACCCCCTTTGGATTGGCTAAGGGAGCTGGCACTCTTGTCCACGTAGTGAATAGTTGGATCCAATAGGCTCTTACGGGTAAAAAGAGGGGTTGGACTTGCAGAAAATGGGCCACCGCAGCCTGACATCTCAGATCCCATATGCAGGAGTACGGTTTCATAACCAGCAACTTCTACCTACGTCTGGTTCATCAAGACCCTTTCATTGCCGTTGTAGCACGTCACCCAATCCTATCAGTTTTTCTGACCGGTGGTGATCCCGCGGGAGGGCGAGTAGGGAGGTGCAGCCGGCCTCACAGGCAAGCAAGGCCACTAGAGCCTGTCCACCGAGCCCTCCATCTGGGCCTGGCTCCAGTGACCGCTTTGCGAAGGGTAACCTTACCCGGAGCACCAGGCTGAGGACAATCTTGCAATCTCAATCTCTAGTTTCAAGTCTTCTTCAATACAGCATGATGTTCATTTGGTAAATTATGGTCAATGCTATAGGGCAGGTTTATTGTGATAGGTTTATTGTGATTAACAAGTTTCTACCACTGTGTTGTCCAATCTATGAGTTATTTTTAAAAATCTTATAACTTCAAAAATTTCAGTATACTTTCTCTTAAGTTAGGGAACTAAGGATTTTTTTTAGTGTATTACAGCCTTTTAACATTTGTCATCGAAAGAAATCTGATGGATTTTACTACCGCAGGGTTGGCGGTTCGAACCCTGGCTGCTCCATGCCCCATGTCAAAGTGTCCCTGAGCAAGACACCTAACCCCTAATTGCTCTCCGGGCAAAAATGTTAAAGTCATGGGTTAAAAAATGCAATGTAAGTCGCTTTGGATAAAAGCGTCAGCCTAATGACCTTTAATGTAATGTAATGATTTATGGAAACAGGATGTGGAAATGAACTTCATGTAGCTTGAATTACAAAAGATAAACATATTGTGTTTTTTTTTGTCTGTTCCTCGATCCCACAGCGATCAGTGGTATACTGAGACTGTGCAGTGTCGAGGAAAAGGGGGACAATTTTCCCCTCTATGGGCATGGTCATCTAAGTGGATATGTATTTAAAAATGCTCCTGAAGGATGTTCTCTTGGATTACTCATTCCAAATCACGTCATCACAACAGCACTTTATATGTCACGTTAAATGATGCAGAGCTTTTTTCTAACGTCTGGGCTGTTGGTTCTGTGTGCAGGCCGGCCAACCGAACCCGGCGGTAAAGCTCTACGTTGTCAACTTGTACGGGCCGACGCACACGCTGGAGCTTATGCCCCCAGAGACGCTCAAGCTACGGTGAGGGCAGCTGCATTCAGGAATTTGGAAAATTGCCTTTTTTTCACATTTTTGTTCACTACACACTCTGTCCCGTTAATGAGGGAAAACCGTGCGCAGTGCAGCTTACTCTGCCTCTGCATTGCAGTTGTGATTGTACTATGTATTATACTTGTGGGAGAACCAAGTAAAGGACAAACCAGCAAACCCTGCCATCGTATTCTTTCACAATGCAGGCATATGCATTTCAACGCATGTAAAAAAAACATTTCATGCGACTACATTTAATGCCTTAATGACTTAATGTCAATACAACATATTTCTACTCCATCTTCTTGCACAGCATGTGTAATGTATTTCATTGTGCTAACCAAGTCCTGCACCACTCTGCCCCCAAAAGCAGACATATCCTTCGGCATCAACTTCCTTTCAGCTGCAGTAATGTTATCTCACTCCCAACTCAACTACCATCCCTTTGTCTGACATAGAGGACCTGAGGCATTGGTCAGGATGAGGCCTTTTATCGAACTGCATAATAAATCTCAACATAATTAAGTACGTTGGTTGCTTTACCCTAGACAAGCCTTTTTGGAAGTTTATTTAAAAAAGATACTGCACACATGTAACAAGCAGCAACTGACGCACTGCCCCTGAAATTTCCAAAACTGACACTGGAGGGCATAGATAGTTTGAATGTTAGTAATATACAAAACCATTTCCTTCACATAAGTGTATAGTGTCCAGATAATCAATAACCAGGGTTGTTCTCGTGTTTTTGATAGGGAACATTATGTGACCATGGTGAAGTGGATCAGCAAGACCAAGACATCGGTCAGGTGGTTGAACCGGGCCCAGAACATCTCCATCCTGACTGTGTGTGACACCACCACCGGAGCCTGCGTCACGGTGAATATTTGTGTAAATACGTGTGTCCCTGAGGGGAGAGGAGACTTTGTGTTTATGTAGGCAAAGTAGTAAGCTATACTTTGAGTCTCTTACCCTAAGAAATGCTAAGAATGCCGTGCAATGCGCAACATTTTACTCCAAGTCAAATTTGATTGGAGTGCTGTGTGCAGAATTAATTCAATTAAAGTCTATTAACAGTTCTTGACTCATTATAACTAATTGGATTCCCATCGTTGTGAAGAAGCAGGGATGCAGAATGAGGATTGAGACTGAGTGGGAGAAAATGAAAGTCTACACATCGGGGTACTGTGGTGCTTCTGCCTCTCATAGATACAATAACAAGGAACCGTGAGCTGTTTTCTGACCACAGCCATGAGATCCTGCTCCTGACAAAAAGTCTGCTGTTTCACAGCCTTTTTTTTAGATTTACTTATTTGCGCTTTTCACTTAAATCATTTTCCTCACTGAATGGTTTCCATCCGCTATGTTAGCGTGAGTTCACGAGGATCTAAGGAAGGATCTGTTACATGATCTAAAACAACCAATCCTTGTTTTTTTTGTTTTTCTGAACAGGATTATCTCTGGCTTGGGTTATTAACCAGTGTCACAAATAACTGCTGAGATTGTTTATTTTCTGTGCCCTCAGTTCAGATTTTAGACTCCACAATGATCAAAAGATTTGGGCTTTGTCTTTGTAGTGGCACTCCAAGTTGCTGCTTTTGATCGTTTCCACGGCCTCAGAACACACAAGGCATACTGGTTATTTGAAGAATAAACGTCCAGGTTTAAAGAACACGTAATGTTTCTCTGGTCTCCTTTTTTCTTTTATAACATTATAAATGATTCTGTCCCTGCTATGTCACAATGCTATCAGGATACAACGATTTGATTGGCCGAGTAGCATCACAGGACCCGGTTCAAAATGCACGCAAACCGCTTAACCAGGAAGACAATCTGTTTGCTCAAACAAACACTTGGACAAAATGTTCCAACTTGTTATGATTTAAATATTGTTACCTTTGTTGTAGCCTGTTGTGGTTGCTAAGCCGATGACAATTGGACATCAGCGCTTTAGGTTTAGAGATTGGTCTCTGGTGTGCAGTGCTGAGAACACGATGCCAGGAGAAGTAAACACAACATTAGAGAGACAATAGGAACAGCTTGAGAGTTATTGTGACGTGTTCCCAAGGTCCAGTCGATCATTAACCCTGGAAGTCTCTGGGAGTCATTAAATCTATCTGTTACGAGAACATTGGTGCCAATGTATGGAGAGACCTTAACTGTCATTATATGAAGACAACATCCGCCGCAGTAAACTCTTTCCATGTTCTCTCTACACGTAGATGATGCAGAGCAATGTTAGCCATGCTGTTGAACTGTGGGACCCGCTCTCCAGTTCTGTTATTTCCTGATTTGGTGTGATTTGCACCAACAAACGAGCTTAGCTCAGGCTTGCACCCAATGCTTCATCAGCCAAAGCTCTGGCTCCCGGCTCATGCACTCATTAGTCTGAAACGGTGGCTGCGGCTCAAATGGCGTCCACAGTTGCACGAACCAAAAAGAGTTCCACACGAGACAGATGATTCTATCTGGAAAATATGCCACCAAAATGTTATTGCAAAATAATAATAAGTATTATGCATAATATTAAAAATATGATGAACAAATATTTTTAATTTAAATGTGTTAATAAGAATTTGATTGAACTCCATACACTTTTATTGCCTGATATTTGAAAACCTTTGAGGAGGACGGGGGTGCATCGTGGAGACTGACATTTTGCTTTTCCATCTTTTTTTAGAGACATGAAGAAAGCTCCGAGCTCTGGCTTTCCAAGCAGGTAAGTGCTCTCAATTCCGCGTGTCCTAGTCTGTACCCAATGCTTTTTTGATAGCATGCGCTAGACTGCTATAATTTGACTTAATGTCATTCATTTCTATTTCAGTATCTTTCAAATTATGCCACATAAAGGACAACCTTGCCAATTACCCACTTCATGTGTGGGTATTTCTATGCACACTGGGCTCTAATCATCCTCCAAAATCCCTCACTTGATGACGCAAACACAGGATGAGTGGCGGCAATGAAGCACTGAGTTTCTCCCCCCTCTCAAATTATTCTCTTGAGCAGGTAGAGGCTCAGGATGCAGAGCGCTGCCACTTCATTATCACCTGTAGGATTTAGCAGTCTTGGATATAATAAACTGCTTTGGTGGGATTCAGCTGTAATTTAAATGTGTTTTCTTCTGGTTTGTATTGTTGTCAATGAAAAGGGCAAAATTGCAGCACAACAGTGAGCTTTTTAGAATGTTTTCACTGTCAGAAAAGAACAGCATCTAATTAAGCTTTTTAAGTCAAAAAGGACTTTTGGAATGGTGACTTGCTGGTAAATTGAATTCATCATCAACAAAGCCATGGACATTTAACAACCTGCCATATAAATCCAGCAAAGGTACCATTAGTGCCATTTTTGTTCTCTCAGCTTTAGTTTTAGCTCTTTTTGTTTGGATTTGCTTGTCAGGAAGAGAGACGGAGGCAGAGGAGAGAGCGTTCCTGGCACGTTGTGGATCACACAGCCTAACCCAAACATGTTTGGGGGGTAAAGCTGGGTATTTTAACCGCTTGTCAATCGTGGCACGCGGAGCTGCTCGTCTTTGTAAAAGTGGTTAATCTTAGAGATGAATCATTCCCTCACTGTGAGGTTGTGTCAGTGCAGAGGAAGGGCCTTTCCTCAACACATCACTTTACGTCAGATTGTGGCTTCTCAATTAGCTGTGCTGGTTTCATTGGATCCCCATGTGTCTCACTACCATAACATACCATACCAGTACATGCGCAAGCCCATTAGACTACCGTATATGACACACATGATGGCTCAATGGATGTTTATGTGTGACATCTGTGCAGTACAGTTGTTTTTTAAACCATTGCAGAATTTCAGGGTAGTGGTAAATGGTGCTTTTTTCTCTGATCATACTAACTACATATTTCCTTTCCTATGAAAGGGCTAATCCACCATTCCAGCAATCGAGGGGGTTGGAAAAATAGGCATTTATGCCAATAAAAATGTCATCATAATTTTTATTCACTTGTTGATAGTGTCAGTAGTATGAAAAGCAAGCTTCTGAAAAAAGAACAAGTATCACAATTCCAACGCTTCCACATAACGAATATAAATTTTAATGACAAATGTGGAAAATCTGGTTCCTGTCTAATATTTACACCCGGCCTACACAAGAATGTATAGTTGTGTTGACCAATGTGATCGATGCTCCGGGGTTCATCTGTCTTTGCTTTTCTGCAGAACCAAGAACCGGTGTTCTCCAAAGACGGCAGCCAGTTCTTCCTAACTGTGCCGGTCAAACAAGGAGGACGTGGGGAGTTCCATCACATCGCCATGTTCACCACACAGGTGAAGGGCCAGTTTACAGTCACTCCCCCTGAAGTTGATGCAGCGTATAAGCCACAGTTTTTACGACCACAGGGTCTTGCCAAACTTTATATTCTGGCACGATGGATGGTGTGTGTTGGCACAGATTTAATAAAACTCTTTGATGTGTACGCTCTGAAATACTGAGGAATGAGGAAATTAAGGAAATTACTCAGTTAATTGAAGTGCAATGGACCTTTTAGATGTCAGTCCAAATGGACTCTTCTTTTGCTTCTCTTAGTTCAGAGCAGATCAAAATGAAGTCCGACATCTAACATCAGGGAACTGGGAGGTGACCAAGATCATTGCATATGATGAGAACACTGACAACCTGTAAGTTTGCATTTGTTTTTTAAGTAAAGGAACACATAAACTAGGTTTTCCTATTAGTCACCGTCTGTCCTCTGATGAGTCACATTCAAAAAACGGAACTGTATTATTTTCTCTTTAATTCACAATGGACACGGAATGACAGAGGAGAGACTTTGCTCTGTGTTTATTTAATCATGGCTTCTTGTGCGCTTGTTTATGTTTCTGTTTTCTCTTTACAGTTACTTTCTCAGCACAGAGGGTTCTCCACGAAGACGGCAACTTTTCAGGTTGCTTCTGCACTTTGTTGCACTTTGTTACAATGACATGACAATTGTCATAACAACATGTTTGTATGAACCTGATATCCCGATAAGAGCACTCACTTTGTTTCCCCTTTTTTTCTTTTCTTGCTGGTAAAAACTTTGTCTATAAAGGGAAACAGCAGCAACAGCGTCTTAATCTGAAATGTTGTTTTAAAAATGACTTAAATAACGTACTTGATGATAAAGTTGTCGATTAAGTTCATTAATACTTTGCTGTAAGGCACTATAATTCAATGACATTAGAATTGATCAAGTAAAGTAAAAGAAAATTTGAGCATGAAAGAAAACACAAAATATCAAAAAGTCGAATCCTGTTTTTATACATATATCCACACTATAACAGTGACTAACGTGAAAATTAGAATACACTATCATTATTTTTGCTACAAATAAATGTCACCATATTATGAAATAGTATGGTACTTAACTAGGCTTAAAATGTATGATTATTTTCCTACAGTATATAATGTTATAGTAATTACTAGGGCTCCCAATGGATTAAAAAAAAATATATATATATACATATATATATTAATTGCGCATTTTGTAATTCATTAATGACGATTAATTGCGAAATTAATCACTTTAGAAAGGGTTTATTTTAGACTGTTGTTTCATTGTATTTTAAACACAAAACTGCACACATTTGATCATCTTGGAGGCAATCTCCCGACATTTAACCAGGACGTTTTCAAACCATTGTCTTTTAGGGACACAGTGGTGGTCGTCTGCAGGGTAGATGTTGATATGGAAGTAGCCTAGCAGCTAGCTTAGCCTAGCAGCTACCAACATGTTCCCGGCACTATATGTCCTAAAATTTAACACGTGGAGGAATTCCTCTGCACAGTTCTCCGCTGTATGTCGCGCCTCTGTTTGTTTTACATCTTCAAATACCGTCTCGGTCTCTCCGATCTAACTGATCGCGTCAACTTCGTTTACTTCCGGCAATAAAATATTTGATCCCATTAATCTCGGCCACATTAATGGTATAGATTAATGCGTTTATTTTGACAGCCCTAGTAATTACTAACAACAATACAAGCAAAAATATTGCAAAGCCTTTTATGTTTCAATGATTTAAATATGTATTGTAAAACTGATAATGAAGTTATTTTCCATGGAGCAGTAACCTGCATCAGGTTGTGATGCACACAGGCAACACATTTATAGCTGGATGTGTTTTATTGATAGTGTTGGTCTCTTGAGGGGATTGTTGGCCTGTGAAAAGAACATAAAGTAATGCCAGCATTACCCTCCATATTTCACTAAAAATGCTTTTCTGCTACCCTGTCTTACTATCCTGATATCCTCATCTCTTCTCCCCAGTGTTAAAACGGTGGGTCTGTTCCCACGGCGATGTCTGACATGTGAGCTGAATAAAGCTCACTGTCTGTACTTTGATGCCGACATCAGCCCTGCAAACCAGCACATTATCCTCCGCTGCAAAGGTAGTCCATCTCGCACCGGGGGCCTCGGCTCTGGCCTCCTCGACGATGGTTGCATAAATGCTTACTTCTGTAAAATGATTAGAAATTCTTATTTTCAAAATACAGAAAAATACGCTGGGAAAAAAAAATTGGCTAAAATATATGTCGTTAAAGATGATACAAATGCAGACGGTTGCAGAAATTTGGGATTCTGTTGTGTTTCATGTTCCTAATGTATTCATCCAATCTGTCAGGCTTCACTTGCTGCAAACTGTCCCCGTCCAACTATTCTCTCTTTAATTCATCTCTCATCAGTTCCGAATGAGAGGCATACAATTAAGCAGACGCTCCATTGTGTATAATTACTTCTAGGTAGCGTAATCGGGCAACGAGTCGCTGGTTTGATAGAGGTTAACCCTTTACATTGTTTATGTTTTCAATATATTTTTGAGCAGATGAGAGTATTTGGGTTTTGTTGTGTTGATTTACTGAATAATTGGATAAGACCACCGCTGGCGATTCACATAAGGAAGGACTGCCAAAAGTCAAAACTACTGCAGGCTTCTAACAGTAAGGTTGAGAGAGGATGCGCAGTGCGAGCGGGGGGATTCTTTTCAGTACGTGCGAGCCGAGCAGCTTCAATGTGGTTGTGTGTGTTTTGCTGCTGCAGAGGGAGTTTGCCTTTCCCCGAGACTTGCCATTCTATTAACCTCTAACTGCGTATCCCACAAAGGGACATTGAAGAAAACTCACTGAATTTGACAGTCTGAAGTTATTATGGAGGTGATGTGAGTGACCTTTAACCCCCAAATGATGCGAGGAAAGTATGGAAGTTGACCACAAAAATTGAGAAAAACAAAACGGTTTCCTGCATTGGACTTTTAGTGTCTGCTTTGCAGGAGCAACCTTTTTTAATGTATTAATAACCTTACTTTTTAGCACACATCATCCTATGGTGAGGATTAAAATAACCGGATAATGATTACAAGACAATCACTAGCTTTATTCCTCTCTTTCAGGTCCTGGAGCCCCCACTGTCATCCTACAGAGCCTCAACAATTCAAGTAAGGAATCCATTTAGCCTGGTGAGAAATGAGGGGCAAGTGAGGACCAGGGAAAGGATAACTCCTGTTCATTTTAAACTCCTGTATGAATGTGCCTATTCTGGATTTGTTGGGCCGTGCTGACTTTACTCCAAAATACAGCTGTGGAAATTCAAGGGAATTAATTTGAGGTCCCGCGCAAAAGAACAATGGCGTAGATGCTGCGTGAGCTTCTTATTGATGTGATCAATCATTTCAAAAGCTCGTATCTCAGTCCGGTTGATAGTAAGCAGAATGGACCTGAAACGGGTTTGTGTTATCCATGCCTATACGTCTTTCTTAAGTTAACAGCTGTGCCACAGCAAAGCAAGCAATTTGTCCTTGGTTATTTGGATAGGCCCTCCATCCACAGCTGGGAACTCGAGGCCCCTGGCAGCTGTCATAATGAGAGCTCTATTGATTTGGGGTTGTACATTAGAAGTGCAGGATGAATTCTATTTCATCTAGGCTGCTCCTCAGATGGCTCCAATGGCAAAAATGGCCAAAAAAGAGCTAGAGAATCATTGTTTATTTACAATAGAGAAGATGCCAAGTCCTCTGTTGCCGAGGAAAGTGAGCAAGCTGATTTAGAAATGAACACTTTAAGTGTATCTTTATCTCATTGTGCTGATCCAAGTTTAACCGTTGTACAAATGACCATTACTAGATCAGTTTGAATTAAAGGGGAACTACGCCTGCTTTCAAAAAAAGGTCAGCCGCAAATAATTTGTTTGCAACCCATATCCAACTTTTTAAAATCTGGGTTATTTTTAGGGGGCAGAAGAAAAAGCGATACATATATATTTGGCTCCATCCTTTAATTGCATATTTCATATGATAATCTTATAACGTATTACAACTTGGAACTTTCTCCTTTATTTGCAAAAGCTAAACTAAAAGCAGATTAAATTCAGAAATCAACTGTATTCAAACCTTTTGTATCGACCACAAAATGAAACAAAGTCAGGAACGATCCTGAGCCTCAGATCTCATCCACCTTCCATCTCATTTCATTATACCTCCGGCTCCAGAGGGAGCCGTGTGTCATTATGGGCAATTTGAATGCGGAGAGACTTTGGTTATTGGAATCAATTTTTGGACTCTTATCATCCTTAGAACCCATTCCCCTCATCTTTTTCAGATTACTACATCCTCGAGAACAACTCTTTGCTAAAGGCTGCTTTGATGCTCAAAAGGATCCAGCTGAATGACTTCAGAACTGTTCAAATGGAACATTTTGGTGAGAGTTGATTGGTTTCCATACTATTACTGGAATTCATGTAGAAAATTGGTGATACAATTGTTCTTCTCTTATCAGATTTACCTTTGAAGATCTCGTATCCACCAGACTTCACTGAGTCCCGTCACTATGGGCTTCTGTTGCTGATGTACGTACCATTTGTAATGACACATTATATCCTGAAATATGACAGAAATGCATGCTGAGAAACTCTTGTTATTTCTCGGTACATTTTTGCTCTGACATTGAATTCGATCCATTCGAACCATCCTTGGTCGAAACATTCATCCAAGCAGCGTTATAAAACATAAAATGGTATAAAGATAAAAGTGTGCAGCATATCGTCAAGGAGAAAAGACATTTTCTTCTTCTTTAAGAGCTCCAATGTTGTCCATAAAAAACACACCAGTTACCCATCTTGTTCTCTCATGAAGAAAACCCTGTGGTTAAAGTTGACTCGTGTCCATCCTCGTCCCGCTGCAAGGAATGATGGGACAGAATTATCTTCTTTCCTTTCGTAAGGATGGTCCAGTGGTTCCTATGCTAAAGGAGATGAGTAGGGAAGCATTGAAGCTCCTTTCCTTTGCCTTAGAGAATTCAAACAGTTCTCATCATGGCGGCCACTTACACTACTTCCACCTCATTTCCCTCACTTAATCTTCCTAAGCAAATTTGACAATTCAAATCCAGCCTGATTTGTGGGATTCTTTGAGTTTGCCTTTGTTTACGATATCTTGTACTATGTTCAGCGACAGCGCCCCCGGTGGTCAGGCTGTGAGCGACCGCTTCTCTCTCGGCTGGGACTCGGTGCTGGTCAGCTCAGACAGCGTCATCGTAGCTCGTCTGGACGGCCGGGGCAGCGGCTCCCAGGGTCAGAGGATCCTGCACGAGGTTCACCACAGACTGGGAACTGTGGATGTTCAGGACCAGGTCGCAGCTGTAGAGTACGTTATCAGATTCACAGAATTCTACTTTAAACGAGCGATGTCCCGGCATATTCTTGTTTGCAAACATTATTGATTTAAATTAACACAGATCCTTTATTATTTCTTTCTACCTTGGAGGGAACAAGATGAATGCAGCCGCTTGTTTCCCTTTTTTTTTTACAATTTGCGTGAATCTTATTTGTCTTTCTTTTAAATTAATTACAAACGGGTTGTTTAATTGAATTTATTTGTTAAGTTATTCTATAGAAATTCAACATTTCACACAAATACATTTGCTTGAAATATTTTACAATCATAGCTGCTTCTGCAAAGTACTGAATTACTCATTATGTGAAGATTTTCACATAGGCTGATCTGGTTGAAGTGCCCCAACCCTAATGTGTGATTGGCTTTTCCTCACACAGGCAATGTGATCAATCACGTGGTGCTTTAGGAGTTGTGCTTAACGGTTATTAAACTCTTGTACGAGTCTTGATTTTTCGGTTTTAGTTAAAAACTTTTTTAAGATACAGCTCACAATGGGTTTCCACAGAGATTCCATCAACTTGACCAATAAAAATTGCTAAAATATTTGCTCATTACTTTGCATAACTTAGATAATATATATACAATAAATGCACATATCAAATAAGCTGTGGCTCATATGGAATTTGCTTTTTTCTTCTAGATTCATGAAGAGTTTTCCATATATTGATCGGACACGGATAGCAGTGTTTGGAAAGGTGAGCCTTTGCTCTCAGCAAAGATTAGATGTAAAATGTATTCAATACCAAGGCTGTTTTTGCCACTAACACGCTGCTTCTGTGCAAATGTCCATGTGCAGTATACAAATCAATAGTTTTCCACAAATATGAAAAGCTTCTTTGTGTAATGTTACATGGCTTTTTGCAGTCAAAGTTCCATGTGTTAATGTGTTTTTCTGCTCAGGGTTATGGAGCGTACATAACATTAATGATGCTCAGGTCTACTGACAACCTTTTCAAATGTGCGTGTGCAATGTCGCCTGTGACTGACTGGAAGCTCTATGGTAAGTTCAGAGCCCTCATGATGAAGTTTCACTGCATTTATTAAACTCAGCTGACTGAATGTTATCTCAGTAGTGTGACGTAAGGAGATTAAAACGGTGAAAGTCCTGTTTTTTGTTGGAGTGGTTTCCACCACTGTAACACTCATACATGGGGACATCCGCACCCTTTATACTCCTTATCAAACCACTTTTCTCACATACCACTAACTTACAATAACGGTTGCTCAACACAATAACTAATTAGGGATCCTTAGTCTTACTCAGTCGACCAAGCTCGACATTCGCCTTCCGGCAAGTAAAAGGAAATAATTAAAGTTTAAAAAAGGCTGTGTGTAGAGAGTAAGAAGTAACGATTTGCCTGTTAAGAGGCTGTTTAGCTCAGATAAGACTGTAAAGTCAATCTTAGCTTTCAGCAGTACAACACCACACCGACAGACCGGTGCAAAGAGCCTTCCCTCAGCCAGAGGTCCCTCACACCTCCCCGAGGGGTCGATTCCTCCTCACTGGAAGCAATTCAGGATGAGATGAACTCCACTTTGTTGTGGTGCAGCTCAAGCGGAAGCACCGTCTGCCTTAAGATTGTCCCACTTCTCATTTGCACAGCATCGGCTTTCTCTGAGAGGTACCTTGGCTCGCCATCACGGGACGACAGCAGGTATCAGGTGGGTGTTCACCATCTAACCTCTCCCCCGCGCACACGCACACACACACACACACACATTCACACGAACACAAACGCATTTACTTGCTTGCCGTTGATCTTCCAAAGTGTCTTGTCCACAAATCGATGACAGACTTAATCTCCCACGGTTACCAAAGTCGGAGGCAGCAGTGCTTCACATTTCCTTGTGTTTTGTTATGCTCCGTAGGACTTTGTCACTCATCTCTCGGGTAACACTGTGCACCGGTGTGTCGGATCACATGTCCTTTGTAAGCCTTTAACGGGTTACCTGGCTCTCTCAGGAGTCCCGCACAGACGAGATGTTGTGCTATCACAGGTGTTTTCCTCAGCGAGCGGAACGAGCACAGTGAGGGGGAACAAAACAGTTGTTTTTCCCAAGCACATGTAAACAACCACCCAACAATTCATTCCACAAAAAGCAAGCCGCTGTTTTCGGTATGTTTGCCCGTCTGCAGGCTTGGCTACAGATATTTCCAGCATAAAAAACACATTTTCAATTTGACATTCTTCATCCCTTTAAGATTCCTCATTAGATTGAATTGCTATTTAATCAGAGTATGATGCACTTACCACAATATCTGATTGCTTTCTAAAATGCAAGTTAGCAATGTCCATCAATCTATTATCTCCATTTCTTATTTGCTCACAGTTTTCCAGTGTGCTACAGAACGTTCAAGCGCTGCGGGAGCAGAAACTGATGCTTGTGCACGGCACAGCAGATGGTAAGATAAAGTAGATGTGTTTGAATGAAAACAGTGTATCTGCATTGCATCAAGCAGGCAACCCTGGCACCTAATTGGGCAAATGTTTTTAATCATAAGTAAAAAAGATTAAGTCGATTATCTAAATTAATGCTGCGATTTCCAGAGGAAAGAGTCGTTGAGCCTTTGTTTGTATTTCCTTCCTCCTAGAATCTGATCTAACTATTTTTCACAGTCAGGAGTCATTTGAGTGTTGCTGCTTACAAGTTTTTTTTCCTTCCCAGCCAACATCCACTTTCAGCATACTGCTGAGCTCGTCAAGAACCTCGTGAAAGTTGGAGCAAACTACTCAATGCAGGTGTGTATCTCATCAACAGGAACACCTAAAGCTCTACACAGCAATAGCATGCACGTGTTGTATAACTCATGTTATTTAAGATAATGTAAATTCACACTTATCAAAAGTGTTTTCAATGTATTGGATTAGCTCGACTACTGATTATGTGTCCAAACTCTGGTTCTTTGGCGTCAGACAGTTGTCAATATCACCACTGTGACTATCACAGCCAACCAAATGTTTGGAGCAGGTTGAGCAGTCGCTGACTGTATAGAAACATAGAGTTTGTTGGTTTGTAAAAGGATGGAAGGAGCTCGTCATCACCCACAGCTGTCAAGTGGTTGGACATGATGTCCTGCATACGGGGAATATGCTGCAGAAGAGATCAACTTTTTATATCAAAGGATCGTTCCGATGTATTCCAACATCTTATAGTCTCCTTAAATGGGACTGTTTGAAAAGAAAACCCCTAATCTTTATTAATTGCATCAAAGTGGAAAAAATAGGCAAACTTAATGTAGTAGTAGAACTTGTGGTAAAAAACGAAAATCAATTGAGATACACTTTTAAAATGTCCCCCGGGACGCAGTAGACTCACAAGTTACCTTACAATAGGTAAAGGACTTCCTCTGGCATTCAATGAGACACAAGGCCTTGAAAATATTCTACAGCCACTGACGGGTAGACAGATACAAAGTTTGAAAGCAGTTTGGCAAGGCCAGAAAAATGTCATTCTCAACTAACTTAAACAGGCCAACAGACACTGAAAGACATTCGAGAATAAACGACAAATGTACTGGCAGAAGCATGGCGCTGCAGAGGTTAAGATTAATGGGATTATCCAGAATGAGGGGCCTTGTGGTTCAAAATAAACAACAGAGTCTCTGTGGTTATGTTAATTCCAGTGGGGTGTTGTTCAAACAATCACATTGCCAATATCAATGACCTTAAAGTGATAAACACGCTATACCTTTTTAAACCACATCTCTAACAGCACATTGTCATCAACCAGTGATTACGGCAAGGCTCTATATATTTGGCCCAGTTATTAGTTTTATATTATTGATCCCATCTTTCTATGTAATATATAGAAATAATGTTCCCAAATGACACAGTCATATACACACGTGGGAAAGAAGCCAAACAAGCGGCTGCTTAAATGTCTCAAACAATAGAGAATGTTGAAATTCCCTCCTACTTATTCTTTTTACTTTGTATATTGGGAAAAGTGTAAAAATCATTAATAAGCACAGATAAAAGACAAATATGAATGCTAATGGTAAAAAAGAGTAGTTTCAGGTATAGTGTTAGATATGTTTTTATATTTTATCCTTATCCTGCCCTAAAAGTCTTCGCTGTATGAAGGACGTTGGTGAGATGGGAGTAGGGTTACTTATGTGTTCTCAGGAGCTACCGATGCAAATGAGCTACGAGCTAAATCTGATAAATGACATCTTGTCTACCACAATTCAAGAGCGAAAAGGTCAAGGTTCATGAACAAACAGCAATAAAAGTGGAACCTGTATTTCGTTTCACCTGATGAACGGGTCCAATATTCACTTTAGCTTAAAGCAGCTAACTTCTCCACTATGTCTTTCTGCTCCGCGCTGTTAAGCCGGTAGTGTCCAGTGGGAAGTTGAAAATGATGTTAGACTTCACAAAAACATCCAGTTAGCAGGCAGTAAAACCAAGACAATAAAACAGTAACTCAGAGTTAATGGGGAACTCCACTGTTGGGTGATGAGTGAATGGAAGTTACCGTATTTGAAATGCGGAGGAGGGACCGGAGATGCCGTTCAGGGCCGTGTTAGCAATAGCTACCTGTCAATAACAGTAAGCCCGCCCTAAAGTACAGTATACCCTGCTCTATGGTCTATTGGACTCTAAATGGGGATTGATACCATAAACACATGTTTACAATGTTTACTGAGGTAAGAAATCAAGTGAGAAATGGGCTGGAAATTTGTGGATTTAGCCGTTGTGAGAAATCCAAAGTATCTTGAGCTTGCTTTGTGATTAAGTATTTATTACTAACTAGAATATAGAAAAATGATAAAGAATACAGAAATCATCAACACAAGCCGTAAGTACAGACAGAGAGCCTCACCCTACGCAGGCGCAACAATTTTCCCCCAACAGGAATTAGTTTTTCATACATTCTATACAATCAGATTTCAGGAGTCGCCCTGCTGGTCAGTAGAGAGAAAAAGACGGTTTCCGCATTGGCTTCAAATGGCAGAACTGGAGGTTTCCGATATGTATGGGCCCATTTAAAATACATAATGTTTGTGAGCGCCTCCTAGTGGAAGCATCAGGAAAGACATTGTGGCAGAATGTAGCAGTGTGCATGTCTCACCCAATCCCATATTGCACATCTGTGTCCCCAAACACTTATTTACTTATCTTTTACCCGCCAGATCTACCCAGATGAGGGCCACTTCCTATCTCAGCCGAGTCGCCAGCACCTCTACGGCACGCTGACCAGCTTCTACCGGGATTGTCTGAAGGAAGAACTGCTACCGCTGCCTGACGAGGAAGAGGAGGAGGAGGAGTAGGCTGGAGGCTTTTAGGATCAGACCTTTGTCAAGACCTTTCACGTTTGGACAAAGTATTTAGCTGGACATGGACACTGGGTTAGAGCTCCTAAGTGTGTGTGTGTGTGTGTGTGTGTGTGTGTGTGTGTGTGTGTGTGTGCCTGTGTGTGCGAATGGGTGACAGAAATGTGTAATAATGTGTTGAAAAGACAATTGAAGGACACAAACAGTGACACTCGCATAGTCCGGGACACGAGGCCGGAGCCGCCCTCTGGCATCAAGTCATTTCAGTTGTGGGACGCTCCGTTTCTTGGTAAAGCGTACGGAAGACCTCCTCCATCTCCTGCAGGCTCTCTGGGCTGCAACCATCCACGAGTGCACGCTTATCTTTTTTTCCTTTGCTCCTTCACGCATTTCGCCATGTTCGTCCCATTTATGGTAGCAAACGAGAAGAAAAAAGAACAAATGAACACTTTTGATCTGACCTCTCCTTTGGTTGGAAATGCTAGTTCACCGCAAAAGAGTCCATGTCTGAAGAAGTGCTATTTCCAGCTGCAACACTCCTGAGCAACAGTCTTTATAGGTCACACTTTATTGTACAGGGGTCTCGTGTAGCCATGTATAATGCCTTATGAGGATCAACATACTGTGATCCTAGTTGCTGGCAGTGATGCTCATCCATTAGCAGTGTCATGTTAACCTATGGCAACTCAGGCCCTCGAGACGCAGCATTGCAGTCACTTAGTGTCAATTACATCACTATATAAGCTGTATGATGATAATAAGTTATTGTTTGAAATAAGGATAATGGATATTGGCCATACCGTACTTTCAGTTTCAGGCCACACAACATCGAATCCATTTTCTTCTTTGTATCTCAGAAGCTCATCTCAGATTAAAGGTCTTTCTTGAAGCCGTGGGACGTTTTCCTTATCTCTGGATATTCTCTTTTTCAAGAAGATAATAAATAACTGCAGTGGTTATTAATGACAATGGGTGTAGTAAGACAGAACGTTTTACAGTGTCAGTAAGGTGTTTGCATGTCTACGGGGAACGTGTTGTCACATTTTGTACAGTACCAATACAGCAGAGTGTGTACATAAATATATTTTTGAGATTTCAGATCTCATAGATAGTTTAGTCTATGGGGATGGATTCATTTGACCCGGATATCTTGTTTCCTTTTTTTCTGTTTTTCTTTCAGCTGTTAAGATGGATTTTGTAATGCTTGTACCTGTTCTTTTTGCTGTTTTAAAATGGGAAAGGGCAGGGTTTGAGCTTTTGGGGGTTATTGTTATTGTCCTCTAGTGATGATTATAAATAAAAAGAAGACTGTGAAAAAACAATAATAATAATCATTTAAGTTACTTCAATCTACAATTATCAAATTCAATTCATTTTGTTTAACCCCAAATCATTATTTTCCCTTGGCTTTATAATCTGTACACATGCCTCATCCTCTCATCAGCGCAAGATTAAACTCCCCCCAAAAAAGACAAAGGAAGACACCTGGGGGAGACATCAGAATGTCCGAATGAACTACAAAATGAAAGCAGCAGCAGTGAGTATATAGATTAACCACAATAACACAGGCGGTAATGGGGTCAGCGATAGTAATACTACTGCTAATAATGAGAGCAGCAGCAGATATCAGCTGCCCACCACAGGCACCAAATAGAACCACTATCCACACAAACCCGTGAGGAGGGAAGGCACAGACACTGCAGGGTAGAAGAAAAATAAGAGATGATATCAGCGCCCCCCGGGGCTAAAAGTGTATCCGTGTGGAAAACCTCTCAATTTGCTGCAGCGGGGTCACGTTCTGCTCCGTGCGGTCCTGGTTGTGGTTCTCCCGGGCCTCTCTTCTCCGTCGTGAGCCCAGCGGCGCGGTGTCTCTGCTGGCTCTACCCACAGCGGTGGGAGGAGACCGTGCCGCCAACCACGGAGCTCTGCTCCTGCCCCCCGGGGCTCTGAGGGCAGCTTGAGGGCTTCGGTAGGAATGGATCCGTCCACAGCAGGATGCTCGTTGCTCCAGTCCTTCACCATCTGGCGTCTACTTGTTCAAAGACGTCATGGCTGCTTCAACACTGCATGTCTTCACCACAACCAGTTCCTGCAATCAAAGGCCTGGTTATATGTTAATTTAGTCATATATACAGACGCATACGATATATACACACATACATATACAATATATTTATATTTATATATACAGACGCGTACTTCACTCGTCACTGCAAAATAAAATGTAACACACAACAGCAGGCGAGAATGCAAGACAAGAATAGAAGTACAATTTAACGTAATGGAGCCCACTTGGACCCACTATAAACACATGAAGCGCTTACATTATCAGGCCCTCTTTAATGCAAATATGCAGGAAGAATCCCTCCCCCTTTTTCTCTCTCTGTCAGTGCTTGTTTCCTCCCTTTCGACTCCCGGCTGACAGAAGGCGTTCACCCTTTCAGTTCAAAACATCCGCTTTTACTACAACGTCTGTGAGCCAATAATCTCACTGCTTTACAATTGTTCTTTAATCTCATCTGTCAACGGTTGTTTCAGTGTCAGAGCGATGCTCCCTCCTCCCTCCCCCATGTGAGTCTCCACTCTCCATCACAATCAACTTTCCCTCTAGAAAGAACAGGAGTTTCTCTTATGGACTCTAAATAATAAGTTATTTCACCACGACGTCACTCATTCGTTTTCTGGACCTTAGGTTTGGAACTCAGCAATTTGGAACCAGAAGTGACACGAGAGGATGAAGAGCAAACTAAAGCTGAATTAAATATAGTAACTTAAGTTTCATGTACAGGGAAATCACTCACTCAGGGTTGTAGTATTATTATTTGACTCTAAATGGACCTTAATGTTATAATAGAAAATCAAGCTGTATTGAGGGAGACTTGAAACTAGCAGTTGTGTCCGTAACTCATGTTTAAAATGTTTTCTGAGGTAATAAATCTAAGACTTATATACAATTAGACTCTTTTTCACAAGGAGGACGAGAAGGAGTCACTTCCTCCTGGCCGAGACAAAGAATGAAAGTTCATGGGACCTACGGATTGGCTTTACCTTGCTAACCACATCCTATCCATACAGATGTTCACCACCACCATCTAACCGCCATTGGTTTGATATTGCTTCACAACTAATGACTTCCCTACTCCATCAAAATATGATGTCTCAATAATAACAATAATATCATAGCTAAGACTCATGTTTAATCAGCTCTCCTATTATGTCAATGTCATTCGCAATTTTGTTTATGCATCTCTTTAATTAAATAAATCTTGATTGACAACTTTGAACAAATATGGGTTCATAGCCTCTCAGTTCTGAGGGTCATTTTACAGCCATACAGTGTTTAAAGTTGACACTCTGCTTTTTGTTAAAAGTCATTAGAAATAAAAATGGTTGGAGCTGACTGCGGCTGTAGCTTGAAAGCAAATGGGAGATACTGCCTGTCACTGCTGCTACCTGCAAACATGCACAAATGTTTTGGTGCACCAGCATTTCTCTGCTGCACCATCAGCAAATCAAGATTGGGTAAATTGTTTTGGCTCTGAAAGAAATCCTCATTTAATTGCTTTGTCTTCTGAGCTCAACAGCAAACAATGGCAGGCACAAATACAATACGTGGTCTTGTTTAATAATTTATTTCACAAAGTATATATATATATATATATATCAGGAATCAATTGCAGACAACACAGAATAAAGCCAGTGCAGAAGTGTAAGCAGCTCAGGATCATGGTCAGGAAATCTTTTTGTTTGCTACATCCTACTCAAGGAGGGTATGGTGATTCATACACAAAGCACACTGTATATAATACACCAGTATTATTAAAACATACATGTCTCCGGTTTCTGCCCTTTTCAAACACTTTTCCCATTCTGGGATGTTAGACGGTGCATGTAATAGGGACGAATCCAGCCATGGCCGTTCCTAAGAACATAGTGAGACTGCCAAAAGGCATCCACCTTTGATTGGACTCATTCATGAACGGGCAACCAATCCGGGTCGCCCCAGTGTAGTTGGTAGTTTGATGCTAATGTCAAATGGTTATGACTTGGTGTCGGTTTGGAATGAAAAAAAAATCAAGTGATAGTTGACTTTACAAATTCATGGGTACATTACCAAAGGGAACTGGGAGAAGCTAATGTGACCATTATTAATAAATGGTAAATTGCTAATTAATTAATTTGACTGGCAAAGAAAATTAACTTTATTATCAATAAATAGTTATAACCAGGTCGAAAAATGTATCTGGATGGCTGTAATATACGTTGGAAAAGATGAATATAAGGTAATAATGTTAAATATGAATAAACACTCTGTAAATCTGAAAATATCTTAGAGAGCAGGTTAATACTTACAATGATTGATTCAGTCTGATGTAATTGTTGTCTTAATCTTGATGTAAGTGTTACATACATTACCATGCAACTTTAACCGGTCAACGTAAATATTTTGCAGGTTGCTGCAGCACAATGGGGGAGTTGTGCACGGACACAGCGGCCTAATTAACCATTGATCAATAATGGTTGTTATTATTAAGAGTTATCCATTCTCTGGTATCCAAAAAATGAAAATGTAAACTAATAATGGTGGAAGAAAGCAGGCACAGAAGAGAATAGCAGAAGGCTGCCTGTAGATGAACTCCACAGGGTCTCGCACAACTAATGGCTTTTGATCCCTCTGTCATCATATTATATCCCAAATAGTTTATAAACTATGTTATTAGCGTGTGCCCATTTATCAGAAAAGCAAAAGCATTTTTAACTCCATTTTCCTGAAGTTGTTAAGATAAAAGGTAGATGGGGCTTTAAACCATTGTATTCCCTGAAGAGACTGCATGTTAATGTGAGTGTAAACCTCGTTGGCTATACGTTTGGGAAATAATGATGACTGCAATGGGGTAAAGGCACCTGCATAAGTTGTTTTGTGATTTTATCGCCCAGGTTAAGTTGCCTTTGCAGTAAATCGAAATATTCACAGTAGATAACAGCAGTCAGCAACAATTCTACTGTAACATGGAAAAATACAAGTTCCTTTGATTCCCTGACATTTGTACTCAGTTCGTGATACAAAGAATAAATCTAAAATCTAAAGCATCGGAATCCAGCAATAATACAACCATAAATCCCACAATCAATAATTACAACCCTGGGATCCCCATCATGGTTCTAGCACATGTAACCCTACACATCCCACATAGTAATGCTTTTCTTCAGCGGAACACAGCCTCTGTTTGTTGGCTAATTACAGTCAGAAAACTGTCTCAGTGAAGAGCTCCTTAGTTACGTTAGTCACGGTCTTTAGATTTCTTCAGGGCGTCAACCTGCTCCTCCTCAAGGCAAAGCTTGAAGAAGGTGAGCACTGAGTTCAGCATGTAGCGTTGACTCTTGGTGGAGGCCATAGTGTGTCCTTCATCAGGGAAAATCTAAGCAGGAGAAAATAGAAAAGAGTTATTTAACCTTAGGTTTTTTATTTATTCAATTACATTTACACTACAATGTCAAAAGCACTAAATTAAAATAGCTAATTCTGGAAATGTGCTCTGTCACTTTCTGATGAGTTATATTGTCTTTGCACCAAATGCAAAGCGAAGGCTGATACGCACTGATATATTTCAGGTTTAGCAAGATATGCCCTAAACGCCGTGTCCCAGAGGTCTATCAGGGTTGAGGTTCTCATTGATGTCCTGACGTTGGTGAGCCAGACATGGAGGATGAATATAATGCAGCTGTCTGTCAGTGAGAGTTCTACAATGAAGCTACTATTTGTTCAGAGACCAGACAAAACTCTTTGCATGGCTGTGTGTAGAAGAACCACAAAGCAGGAATTCTGACTGAAAGCTGTTTATTGCAATTAAATCCCCACAAAACATTTGGGTAATTTTGGTATGGCGCTATGGTTAACCAGCAGAGGTGTTGGTGGACAAATACAGAGAACAGGGCTCAGTAAAACTCAGCTTCTGTAGACAGTTGACAGTCTGTCTTTCTACAGAGCCAGATGGGCGCAGTTTAATATATACTGTGCAAACGAGAGTGCTCGTTATCTTCACATTTATTGGAACAAATATTAACTTTTACATGCGCATTATTTAAGGAGCCAAATATGGTAGGTCTGATTTAAATCAACGTGTTCTAAGTATCTAACTGTAAGATAACAGTGATGGACAGCTGCCCTAACGACTCCACTTATCTGATTGGCTGTTTTCCTTTGTGCAAAGGGAAATCGTGCGAATTAAATTAAATGAGTACAGAGGAGGCAAAGGAACCCAGTTTCTTTTTTGAATTTACTCTTGAACTACTGTCAGGATCAACGCACTGTGACTCCCACCTCATCCTTTGTCTAGCTTATGCTTCAAACCATTATGCTGTAGGTACCCCTCCCCTCCGTAGGGTCAGCTACATCAAAATCAAAATGCACTTAGCAAAATAATTACAAAATTGACATCTGCGTTGACAGGAAGTTAAGCTTACAAATCATTCCTCTAGAAAGGTTAATGTGAGAGGCTAACTCAACAATTACTTTCACACAGGGTTGTTTTTTCTACACTGGAACATTGTTTTTCCCATAAAGAATTTACTTAGGAGTAGCTCTGTGTATTGGCATTAGATGTTGAGGGCCGATGTATTTGGAGGGTTATATTTATTTTATGTCAGTCACCAGCTGTGTCTTTAAAGCTTAATAGAAAGACGGCGGCTTGTTTGACACATGAAAACAACATCAAGGTCTACTCTTGTAAATAGAGTAAGATCTACTCAAAGAAGCAATGGCAGCAGTCACCTGCAGGGTGTAGTTCACATTTGACGCAGACAGCGTTTTGACCAACTCTGCAGTATGCTGGAAATGAACAGTGGCTGAAAAAAAGAGAAGGTCAATCAAATGATAATTCAACCGAGCCGCCGTGCTCAGTCCAGTACACTTCCACAGTTGGGCAGTTAATGAAAACTCGATTGTAGGGCCAAAACACGTCATACATTGTACATTCTGTGTCGTGCAGTGATGTTAAGCACACGGCTGAGACTAGGTAGCCTCAAGTCAAGATGAGATTCCAACATTGAACCAACCAATGAGCACACATCATTTTGCTGTAGAATCCCTACCCATTGTTAGCAGTGATACAAATGGAAGCGTAGCAAAAATAACATTCACAACAAAATAGCGCTAAGTATGTATTGTGTACTTTAAAATGTGTTGCTCTCGCGAAAAGTCAAGTAATTTTAAAATGGTGTAGCCTGCTTGTGAACCCTATAAAGCGCCCACATCTATTCTGATGTCCATACCTGTACCAACACTCACCATCTGCAGTTCCGTGGATAATTCGAAGGTTCAGAGGATTTGATGCTGTGATGTTTCTGAGCAGACTGGAAATCTGCCGGAGACAGTGAACAGTAAGATGAGCCTCCAGGGACTGAGGAGAGTTTTATACATCGTCTAAAAATAACATGTTATTCAAAATGAACAATGGCCCAATCTGAGCAATTGTGCACACAGACACTTTCAGGCGCTCCAATCAAGTCTATGAAGGTTCAGTTCTGTCCAACTGTCCAATCATCAAGCGTTTGAGGGCTCTGTTGTAGACATTATGAACACTTTCATCATGAGTCAGCATTCTGACTTTGCCACATTGCAATGTGACGTTAAACGAGGGGTTACCAGTGTAAGCATGGAGATGTAAAAAAACAGGAAATGCCTTTTTAAAACATTAGTGCAAATCTCTGTGATTGTCTGAGGACAGGGGTGCCAAGGCAGTGCTGCTAGATCGCCTGCCATTGAAAATAAAATCACTTCACACACAAACTGCTGCTCATTGTATGTTTTCACAACAGCACGTTCCTACTTGGTATTTGAGATCCTCTTTTGCCGGGGAGCCAAAGAATTTCTCAGTGTAGGCCGACCCTTTAAAAGGATGACAAAGGGAAAGAGAGATATTGTCAGCATTAAAGTTTTAAATCACTTATTCACAACAAGACTTTGAATTCCTTTCAGTAGTACTTATTCAGTATACATTGGATACAGTGACAACTATGGCATTGATGATTAATGTGGCTCCAGTCGGTTTGTTAGGCTTCTACGTTTGTTTGACATTCTGACTTAGTGGTCCATTTGTTTAGTGTTGCTTCATAAAAATAATGCCGTCCCCATGGTGTGTTGCTTAGAGAATACATGTCAGTATTGATGACCAGATACGATAACTGGTTTTACTGGCTGTTTGAAGGTCTTTGGACAGACTGTCACGGTATGTGTTTATTTCCTGCTTTATTTTGTGTTGTCCTGCCTCTTGTGTCCCTGGTTTGACTGCACTTCCTGTCCTGGTGTGTTTCCTCGTCCTCTGATTGTCTGTTGTGTCCCTGATCTGTTTCCTCCTGTGTCCAGTCACCTGCACCAGCACGGCGTATTTAAACCATGCGTGTCCCTGGTCTCCTTATCGGTCGGTCTGCTCTCACCTCTGCTGTCCCTATTGTGATTGTGTGTGTGTGTGCTTGACATTTTCCTCTTTGTCCCTCAGTGGGGTCACAGAGGCCCTACTGCTACCAAGCAACCTATTTCCTGAGTCTGTTTGAGTTCAAAGAGATGAGAATAGGCTCGAGTGCTAATGCCGACTGGACACCGTTACATAGACCAAACATTCAGATCATTGTGCTACTGTGGCTATGTGTGACATTCCGTCGTTGTGATACCATGGAGTCTCCAGTTTGTTATGGGGGCGACAGCAATACCACACCGGAACATGGAGCTGTGGGACAGGAGTAGGAGAGTTGAAATAAATCCTCCATACGCCTGAAACAAAGAACACGGCTGCTTTAAGAGAATGAGTAAAGGTAGTCATTTTCTGTGGTTTGATAGACATAGAGGCGACGTTACCTTTCCATAAACTCCAACTCTGTTGCCATCGATGTAGGGTAGTCTGATCAGGTGCCTGTAAATGGAATGAGGTAACTAAATAGCAAAAAATAATAATTCCTTCCTAATGAGATACACAGCAAAATATTATTGGTGTCTCAGAAATTCAGCTGATTGTTTGCCAATTTAGTTTTAGCAGCCTTAGTTAGCCAAAAGGAACCCATTCATTTTCCAAAATCCTCAGAAATGTGAGGGCCACCTGGGATGAAGACCAAGCTGTGGTATAGCTTGGTCTTCATCCCAGGTGGCCCTCAGTGTCTGAGACCCATCAGCATCAAACTTTAATGTGGAAAGTGTAACTCACTCAGTGTTAAGAGTGAGGGGAAGGGTGGATGGTTGAAAAATCACCAGAAAAATAGACTCGCACCAATAAGACCAGCTTATTTTACATTACTTCAGCACTGTTATTTTGTAAAGACTTGTGCATATTTTGAATAAAAAAAGAATTGAAAATGCATGTGACCACTGACGTCCATATGCGTTTTGATGTCCAAAGCCGAAGCTAGTGGGGAACCTGGCATGTCAGAGTTTGAAAACAACAAGGTGATCTTCCAAAGTAAGCCTACTTGGGCCAACTAGCCCTCTTTGTCGGGCAGAGAGACACATTGATGTAGTTGCGTGTAGGTCAGTAAAAATCCTTGATTTGGTGAACTGAGAAGCCTGATTTGAACCTTTCTTGGGGTTACCCAACCCCTCAGGTGGTCTGGGACGGCTCTCCTTTCTGTTCCCAGAGTCAGAACCAAACATGGAGAAGCAGCACTTAGTTCTTCTGCTCCAAATATGTGGAACAAACTCTCAGGAAGCCGCAGGTCTGCTGAGACTCTCAGCGCCTTCAAGACTGCAGACATTTCTGTTTGCTGCTGCCTTTAATCAACTGAGCCAGATTCAAGGATGATGACTTTTAAAAAGCTTTAGTTCAGAGAACTGAAGAAAGGTTAGTGTTGAACCTTAGTTATTGGGACCCAAAAAACAGTCATATGGAGCTCGCTTCTGCATTTCTTTGATTCCTCAGCATGCAATGGCTAACTGGTGTCAACTAGAAGAACCAGTTTTGAGAGAATTAGAGGAGAAACATTCAGACAGACTCCCACGTTATAGTTTCCTTTTCAAAGGAATATAGTTCATTAGGTCTTATTTTATAAGGGACAATTATTGCAGTTAACTATAAATAACACCAAATTGGTTACACTAGCACAGCTACAGACAAACAGCAAGAAGAAATATAATAAAATACTTGTTATCAACATATTAAATAGCACCATCAATACAAAAACAGAAACATCACTGTCAGCAATATTTGGAGAACCCTGCAAACAGTTTGTTTGGCAATCAAGTGACTTTTGAGAAGAAAAAGAGAAGCGTACTCTACAGCTGCGACCTGGTCCTGAACATCCACAGTTCCCAGTCTGTGGTGAACCTCGTGCAGGATCCTCTGACCCTGGGAGCCGCTGCCCCGGCCGTCCAGACGAGCTACGATGACGGTGTCAGAGCTGACCAGCACCGAGTCCCAGCCGAGAGAGAAGCGGTCGCTCACAGCCTGACCACCGGGGGCGCTGTCGCTGAGAGAGGATGGTTATCAGTTTAGTCCGTGAGGAAGCCCATGAGTCAAAGAAAAATTCTTCCAGAAAAACACATCAAAATAAAGATTAACAAAACTACACGTTCGGTATGATTATATCATCTACACATGACCCTACAAATTTGATCTATGATGGAAGTTGGGAACCTTCAACTTAATACACTATAGAATTCAAATGAAATGACCTACAGAATCAGTAACAACGGGTGCTCCTTTGTTTCATCCAAACCTACTGGGACAATCAACTCCAGACAAAGTCCTGCAAAACACAATCAAGACTTTAATAGTAGGTAATTTGTTCTGGTGTACATCTCCTGCTGCATTCAGGTTAGATATTTTGAAGGGGAAGATTCAGAGTGGGACTTTTGTTATGCACTGCAATGTACATATTATGTATCCTTCTGAAAACATCATCTTGCATAGTTCACAACATCACATCACAACACTGTTGCCTCATTGAAATTGACAGCGTTTCTACTCAAAAGGCCTTTAATATGTTTCGAATGTCTTTTATGGTAAACACGGACTAACAAATGGCAGCCATGAACTGTGGACTAAATGAAATGATATTGGGCTGCGTTTGGGATTCATAATCAGCTCAAAAAGCTGTGCACCTGTTGGCTCAAGTTGTGTTTCCTTGAATGTGCTAGTCTGACGTGCAGATGTGCGTTATCCTGCCTGTCCAGCGGATGGGTAATTACTGTGCTGGAAACCGTCAAAACTTTTCCCAGCGGTTTGGAGCTCTTCGCCATATAGCATTCTAAGCTAGCATTTTGGGATTCTAGCATTTTCACAACTATTTTACCCTGAAATACAGCCTCAACATTGGCGTTTCTAGAGGAAAGGAATGGCAATTATAATTGAAATGAGTATATTATTTAACCAAAGAAAACATTTTGAAAAATGTTGAACATGAAATATAAAATAAATCTATATAAATATGAATATAGAGGAAGCCGTTTGCACGTTATCTGATTTGTCAGAGTAATTGACTTATTGTGGGCATAGAATCACTGAGCGGTATGAGAAAGATTGCATTTACACCTGATTATTGCTCAAAATAATGAATAATAAATAAAAAATAGGAAAGAATGAGAAGTATTGACTAGTTGTTGATGAAAGAGTGTTGAAAGGTAAATAGTTGAAGATGATGTGTATGTCCTACCAAAGTCGTTGATTTGAACGGTTCTTCTTTCCCACTTGGGAATCCTCTTGTCCATCATCGCATGTCTTAATACTACGTTCATTTCCACAGTCTTGTACTCTGTCAGCGCAAGAAGAAGACTGACTTTAGTTAGTAAGTCACCCATACTTGCAATAACTAAATAAAACCTGACATAACACATGTATTTCAAAGAGCCGGCTGTGGTCTGAAGTGTGTGGAAATGGTCACGTTCATTACCAAACAATCTTAAAATAATGGGATTAAAAAAAAAATAAGGCTTGGTTTTCTGTGGGACTGTGGGAGAGGAAAAAGACTAAAAAATGAGCGAATAAAATTACATTGATTAATGCACTTTTAAAGCCCAGTCACAATTCGGCTTCCACCCAAACCTAATGAACACATTTACACGATGCACTAATTGAAAAAGAGTCCTGCTTCAGTCTGAATGTACCAGAGTACGTACTGTTCATGTCGTTCAGTCTGTGAAGAGTAGTTTGTGGTATTTCAGGACCTGTCGAGGAGGAGGGATTCTTAAGGTCAAAGATTTAAACTTTATCATACAATTTAATCTGAAATGCAACACATTAAACAATAAAGTGACAGTTCACCTTTAATTATTTAAAGTAATATGTACACTGTAAAAAATTGCTGTAAATTTACGGTGCATTGCAACGGTATCTTACAGTATGTCATAATAATTGTAACATGCAGTTAAATTTCCATCCCTTGCTTGTAAATTGAGGGCCAATGTCATGAATAAACAGTTAAAGCTGTCAATTTACAATAATAGCAGATTACCGTAATTCAACTGCATGTTACATATATTTTATGAAGTGGTGGAACTACACATACAAGTGCAGTGAATCACAATCCATCTACATCTTTTGTCGGTTAATGTATGGAAGTCCATGTCAGCCACTAAAAAACAGGTCCTGTAAGTCATCATAATGAGATAGTATCTCATGAGATACGATGATGACTTTGACTTACAGGACATTACTATACATGCAGTTGTCACTTTTAACACCCATGGTTTGACATAATCTTATGTGGAGTATTTGGGGGTTAGGTGTCTTGCTCAGGGACTTGGCACAGGGAGCAGCCAGGATTCAAACCGCCAACCTTGTGCTGCACAGCACACCCTCCCTATAGCATGTGCCGCCTTCGCTGTCGTTTCAGTGGCCCGAATGTGAAGATTATAAATATTTGCATTATTCAAAGTGTTCATTGCCTAAAAGTCATTTGAGTGTTAATCGTGACCGACTGCTCCTGAACGTGACGTCAGACGCGTAATCTCAGTTCATCCAGAACACCTGTCAGTGCAGTTAGCGAGGAGTTTCTCATTGCCTCGTCTCTCCAAGTAACGTTGGTAAGTGTTATTTGCCTAGCATGATTAACATTCTCCTTCCTTACATCTTGTTGTCTTCCTAAACTTTGTAATTTTAATATTTTACCAATGACAGTGTTTCTAAATATTTGATTTTGCTTTGTTTTACAGTGGCACTGGATTAAGGATGCCAGCCGTTTGCTGCGGTCAATTGAAAGTGTTCCATGGCGTATTGTTGCAGCTAGTTTACCTTGTTCCTAACGATTTTATGATTCATTTTTGTATTATTGTATACATGCGGCATATTTTATGTTTTTGATCTTGGTTACAAATGCCGAACATTTTTGTCTTAAAGGCATCTAATAAACTCCAACCACTATGACCGTGGGTTTAATTTGTGGGGAAAAGTACACGGTTATAAGTAAACGGTAACATTCTGGTAACACAAAAACAGTAATCGTATGGTAAGAAACTGTAATCCAATATACGACAACATACCGTAAAATTACGGTAGGGCACTATAAATAAAACAGTTACTAGCGTCGACTGCGAGTATGTTGCAGTTAACAGTCAAATTTACGTTGTAACATACGTTTACGGTAACATACAGTAATCAAGTTTACGGTAACATAGTGTAAACCCCATTTACGGATTATACCGTAAAATAACGGTAAATTCCTGGCATCCTTGCTGCCAGTAAAATACCGTTAATTTACGGTGACATTTTTCATGTGTATTGTGAGTGTATTTATTTTTCTCTTACTTGTAGCACTGTATACCAATGCCTTGAGGACTACAAGGTCCATAATATTTCATACAAGTCAAACATCTGCAGTCAATATCTCCAAAACTAGTCAACACCATACAGCAATAGCTGTTAGAGGGAAATAGCAGGTAAGAGGGAAATATGAATGCTTCATTTTGGGGTGAAACGTCCCTTCAAAATACAATAGTAAACAAAAATGAATATCAAATGTCATATAACCTATTAATTTGACTGTAATTTGACATAATAAATTGAGTATTGAAACCAATGGGTTTTCCCGTTTTGTACCTTTACAAATTGGAACTCAAATAGATTGAAATAGACTTTTTACTATTTTGATCAACACAACATGCTTTTGAAAATGCAAAATATCTTTATTGTGGCACAAACAATAATGAGAACAAAAAGTTGACATCTGTTGGATGCCCTGAGTCAATACTTGGTAGAACCCCTTTTTGCTGCAATTACAGCTGCAAGTCTATTGGGGTGTGTCACTAGCTCCGTGTGCGGTTTGTCAATTGGTTGTGCCATATTCTTTATATATTTTTTTGATGATGGACTTTATGGTGCTCGGTGAAATGTTCAAGGATTGGGATATTTTTTTTTATAACCTAAGTCTGCCTTTATGACCTAAGACAAAATTTCGACCTATATTGTCAGATTTTTCACTTTATTTAAAGTGTTTTACTCTCTACGTTATTATTCACTTCTCTACCAATTTGTCTCCTTGTCTTATATGATCATTTATACGACCTTTCTTCTACCTTTAAAAATTACTCTATGCAGTTTGTTCACTATGAATTCCATATTTCCCCCAAATTGCCGCATCATCTGCAAATACTGACAATTCCATCCATCCATTCATCTTCAGAGTCATTTATCCGTCATACAGGGTCGTCGGGGGGCTAGCGTCAATCCCATTTGAATTGTCAAATTTGCTTAGGAAGGTTAACTGAGTGAAATGACACGGAAGTAGTGTAAGTGGCCGACATGATAATAGCTGTTTGATCTACTGGTAAGGATGCTTCCCGACTTAGCTCCATGAGTAAAAAAGGTTATGGACCCTGGTCTACATGACTGAGCACGATAACAACACATGGACGAAGACATCGAAGATGCACTTCTTTGTAGTCCATCTTTGGAGAAATTGAAGTTTAACTGCTACAGACTGACTTCACTCCCGTCGGACCCCCTAAACACAGCGGTGGCTGTCATCTTTCCTACACCCTGTTTTCCACAGCAGTCAAGCAATAGTGGTTAGGAATTGACATTATGGGGTAATTTGTTTGACGTTTCAAATCCAGCCCCAGATAACATTAGGCGAAGGATGGGGTACACCCTTGATTGGTCGGCAGTCATTCGCAGGGATTTTAGTTCCTGAACAGAGCATTTATCATTATTACTCTGAGGGCTTCACAGAACAGGTGTATTTATACTGAGATTAAATTGCTTAAAGGTGGAACCTATTTAGTGATTTTGTCACTAAATGTGACTTATAAAGGCAATTGGTTGCAACCAATCTTTTTTGGAGGGGTTTACAGAGGGAGAATATATATGGACTCAGCGATTTGTATTTGTAAATTTTGAAATCTATGTAAACTTTCCCCCAACTTCCAGGTGACGGACTATAAATTTGAAAAAAAAGAAAAGTCCAAGGGGGGTGAATACTTATGTAAGTGCACTGCCACTATTTACAAGATAGATATTAATTCTGCAGTAGCTTTGTTTTTATATTCAGCTGTCATTAATTAATACATTCAATATACGGACTCAACATAGCAGATATGGATGATTAAGATGGAGAATTGGTTTATTTCAATACACAATTATCATGTCTCTGTTATGGTTATAATGGGGTGTTACCTCTGCAGTTGAGGAGGACATGTTGATAGTCCGGACTGAGGATGGTGTCGTAGTAGGTGCACTTTGATTTGAAGAGAGCGCAGGTGAGGCATTCTTTATGAAATGGATCCAGGGTGGAGACTCTGTTTAAGGAAAAGGTGTGTGAGGTCAAAGGAAGTTCATCGGAGAAGATTTACACTCTGCAGCTTTCTGGCCTGCAGGCAAAAGACTAAATCCCAGAAGACTATGGCTAGCAATGGTCACACATTAAACCTGTGTCAAACCCACTGAATGGGTTTCCATCTCACTGTTTTTATGTTTACATTCTCTGCTTTACTTTTAAGTTGACATGTCTGTTTGTTGTTAAAAAACAACTACAGAAGCTGTAAATTTAATGGAAAGATTAAAAAAACATGTCAAACTAAAGGCGGATTTGGGTCTCTTGGCTTTCCAAAGGTGATCAAATTTTAAAAAGATTGACAAATAATTCCCAAATGTCTAAGAAGAGAAAAATTTACGCAGAGGGAATTTAGTTAAAGATGGGAAGGCAAATACATGTTCGTTGGCGATGAAGTAATACAATTTCCATTTGGGCACAGAACACGGAGCTGAGTAAGATAACCTCATCATCCAAGAAAAACATCAACTCGTTGAAGAATTAAAAGACAGACTACAATAGCAGCAGAATATATTTACAAAAGCCATAGCTATAAATGAAGAAGCCTTTAAAGCTAGATTCATTGTGGCTAAATAAACTGCCCTCGTTTCCAAGTGCTTTTGAAGCAGTGCAGCGAGCCAAAGAGACGAGCAGTTACTTGGCTTTTTAATCAGCTGCTGATCAAAGGCAGTAAGGCCCAGTTGACAGTGTAGAGCTTTTGTAAAAGATTTTTATACTTGAATTGTTAAATGCAGAGAGAAATTTCACAATACGTTTGTGAGTAGTTCATTCATCACATTCATACAGACTTAGTTACAAAACCGGCCTTTTGAAGGTAACCATTTTGCTGATGTGGCCCAGGGTAAAAGTGAGTTGTACACCCCTGGTGAATGAGATCTTCATGGCGTGTTTATTGGACTACTCACACTAATACATGAAGCATACAGAAATGTCATATTTCAGATTTCCTGAACTATTGTCTACAGTTTGAGATATGGCTTCTTTAGTTCTGTAAACGTCCTGTTCTTCTGCACTGGTTAAATGTCTAACTGAAAAGACCATCCTCATAGAGTAGTTGATGAAAATGTATTTTATTAAGTGTTTTATTTTACCAATTTGATGGAAATCTGGTCAAATATGCGCACTATTCTTGTAAATTGTATATTAAGCCACATGACTAACAAAGCCATTAAATGCTGAAAATTTAGCCAAGAATGCGTAGTTAAAATCCTTGTGTTCTGTCATAAGATTTCAGTGACAGTGCAGTAGAATTGTAGATAGAACCAAAGTGGTGACTAGCTCTCTCAGCAAGAAAGCAAATATGCATATTTCCCAAATTGTCAGACTATTCCTTAAAGTTCCTTCATGGAATTTTATGTTTGTGTGGTAGTGGTAGTGTTGCAATGCACCAGAGTCCCTTTAGAAATGCTATTGTTTTACTGCAGCCGTGTTTGAGAGTCTGACCCTCTCAGGTCTGGTTATGTATCCTTTTACTTTAGACTTTAGTTGCAAAAATTCTGGATCTCATCTGATTTAAAATGTGACTCTGTGGCCCTGAAAAAATGTCTTTCCTATTCAATGCACAATGCACATGACTAATTCAGCTTCTTTTGGTCCTGACTCCTGCCTGCCCGCGGACACCTACTGCCTCTAATATCATCAATATTCCCATTTCTATTGCTGTAAACATTAATGGGCATCAGTAACTTTGTTTCTTCCACGGAGTATTTGTGCTTTCTCGGCTCACAGGTTTCCATGGATCATGGTTCTATCTGGACCCTGTTCCTGCGTCCTACCGTGGCCCTGCTGACACCTGCTGCTATCATCATCATCATTATTATTATAAATATTAATCATATTACTATTACTGCCATCATAAACCGACATTACCCTTTCCTAAAGTCTTTGTACTTTCCCTCCCCACAGGCTTCTGTGGATCAGAAGCCTTCCTAAGGTTTCTTCCCTTTTTTCCCTCTTTGGAAGGGTTGTTCATTCTTTGAGTTTTTCCTGTGCCGATGGTGGGTTTCGGGACAGAGGATGTCGCATGTGTACAGACTGTAAAGCCCTCTGAGGCTAATTTGTAATTTGCGATTTTGGGCTATACAAAATAAAATGAATTGAATATAGAAATAACCTTCTTGCTGATGGTGTCCTTCACTTTTCTATGTCATTGTTGGAAAAACTGCAATAATGTTCTACCTTAGTACAACAGAGAGTCTGTGCTCTTTCACATAGAGGCACATCGTGTTCTGAATCTTGGCGCATGACCTGTGTGTCAACTCTTTCTCCTGTTTGCAAACGTTTACTATCCTGGTTTTGATGATTTTACACCGGTGTTGTGTATTCATTCATCAACAGTCATAAAAACAAAGTATTACAGTGTACTTCATAACCAGTAAAAAAGTTCCTCATGGTAATTTAAATAATAACAAAGTAAAATCATAACGGTACCTGTAGAGCTGCCGGTGTGTTGAGCCTTCTTCCGCACTTAGGAAATAACTGAAAAACACACCAGATGCTTCTGGAGGATTCATATTGAACAGTATCACATGTCACATATTGTATTGGGTTGATATCGCATGGCAAAATTCATCCTTACAGTGAGTTTGCACTCTCATCATAGGCCAGAATTTGAGAGACCTCCCAGCTTCCTGAGGTCAGGTGGCGCAGGTTGACCTCCTGGCCTTCAGACTGAGAAGCACAAGAAAAAATAGCGTTATAGTAAGTATTGCACTGAACTGGTCTTTACACCGGCTTCCTGTCAGTCAAAGATGTAAGATTATATCTGATATTCTGCTATATTATGAACCAAATAGATGTGTCAGGTTGTCTGGGGGAGGAAGGAAGGGGTCTATTGCTTTATTGTCTAATGTGTTTTATGTCAAGCGATTTGAATTGCTTTGTTGCAGAACCGTGCCGTATAAATAAACGTACCTTGCATTGCTATTCAATTCTAACATGTTGTTCAACTTATTAACTTGAGAAACTGAAAACGTCTTGCACAGAAACCAGTGCCCCCGGTGCATCTACCGTACTCCCCTTAATTTATTCAACTGAATGTACTCTGAATTCTCAGGTGTTTTGGGAAATCTAGTCAGAAAAAAAATAGTTTAAAGTTATGAGACTTGGAAATGGAAGCACTTGAGGAGTGTGAATCATTTGAATGGCCTTAAGACACATTAGGAGGTGTGCAATAGTTAGACCCCAAGTGAATATACACAATAGATTCAACTGACTATTTCTTGTACTGTATTCAAATGTCAAAGTTTTACCTGGTTAGAGATCATGGTGATATGGTTGAATGCCCCGCGACCGCCGTGTCTTAAGGGCATCGTGATGAAGAATGTTGTGTAATCCTTGGCAAACACCGGCTCTTCATTCTGGGAAAACAGACACCCTGCATTAGTTCATAGTAGTGGTTCAAACCAGGTGCCTACAACAAGAACAAAGTGAAGTTAATTGCATTGACTTTATTGGGGAAGAGCCTCTGAGACTCCTCTTTTATCTGACCTCAACTGTTAAATAATGCATTGATCTGAGGCCTTTACTCAAAGACAACTCATGAATCAGTTCAATACAATGTACGTTGCACAACATCATTGGAGTGCCCCAAGAAAAAGTATGGTGGTGATGACGGAAAGCCCTGTGGACCACGTCCACGCCTTACATACAATTGATTGGCTTATAAATGGAGATGGACCAACACACTCACCTGACGATCGAGCCACTTTTCTGATGTCGCCACATGTTTCTGAGTTGGAAAAATGTAGTCAGAACATTACGCTTTTTAAAATAAAGTGTAAAAGACTAGAGAATCCTCACCAATAACGTTCCTACCTTGGTGCAGTCACTTGTTGTGACGTCGCACAAGGAAAGTATTGACATGTTTTGAGCTCGAGTCACCCAACGCACACTTAACTTGTCCTGAGCCACCCATTTCACCATGGTGATGTAGTACTCACTAAGCAAAGACATACAGATAGAAATGGTGAGTGGTTTATTAAAACCATTTCCAGTTGACAACGTGTACCGTACCTCTTTTTAAAACTGTCCGGAGGTCTCAGCTCAGTTGTGAGGGAGCTGCCGTCCAGAGTGACGACGTAGAGTCTGACGGTGGGATTCATTTGTCCCATCTGTAGTTTAAAAAGAACAAATGTGTAATTGCCTTCACACGCCTAACACAATTGGATAATATACATGATGCACACCGCGTAAGTATGCACATAAATGCTGCAATTCTTTAACAGAGAATATGATGAGGATATTTAAGAAGAGGGAAACAAACGGCGTTGTTGTATGCTGCACCGGCCCTGTGGCAAGGAAGCTTAAACCTCGCTCACAAATGATGCTCATTAGTCTACATCATAAGGGAAATCTAGGATGACACATTCATGCCTCCTTATCTGTACTGTTTATTATTCTTGTCTTCTCCAACAGTTACATTTCTACCCAATCTGGTTTGGGCACTATTTAGCAAATTGACGCAACATGACGCCCAAACCGAGTTGGTAGACATAACTTCTTCAACAGCAGCATGTTAGAATGTTGTTGTTTGTATTTAGAGCAACGCTGTGTTTTGTCTTTGTATACCAGCTGTGATTTCAACCTTGATTTTCGGTTGAAATTCAATCTGAGCGTGTGGCTACAACATCAACATGTCACAAAATACCAGTTTCTGTTAAAATGCTGATGGCCAGATGTAGGTTGAAAGAGAGATGATAGGTACTTGTAATGCTCCAAAGTCCTCTTACAGAGGTCGGTGAGATGGGGTCTACACCAAAGCGTGATCTGAACGCTTTTACTCTTTGATTTCATAAATATGGAAATCTAAACGGTATACTGCCAACAACACACTCCCAGGAAATCGTGATGAGAGCAGAGGACATTCTGTCTGCATATTATTGGTAAATACAAGTGTGTTTTTTGGAGCAATTGAACTACTAATTAGTATTGGGTTTTAGATTTGCATTATTAATTTACTGGGACGTTTGCTGAAATTGATTGGCTTGATTGGTGAGGGTTATAGCCCAACAGTTATAAGGTAAATCTTTAAATTCAGAGACATTGTACTTTTAAATAACAATGCCATGGGTACTTTTACTTTGTATTGGCTTGTATTGTATCCCCCGGTGGTTAGTTTCACTTAGATAAAAGGAAGCAAAAGGTAATTTAGTCTCCTTGATTTAATCCCACGATGTCATAACGCTGACCCCACTCAAGGTTTCAAGTGAAAGATTCACAGTGTGCGTGTGTGTGTGCTTGTGTGTGCACGCACACAATGTTCACCCTGCGTTGGGAAGGTGAATATCAAGTTTAATTGGATGTCTTCCTATCCTATTACGCCCTCCTCCCACCAGTCCTCCACAACTTGTCTGAAAGGCATTTGATACGCTGAAGGTGGTTTAATACAATCAGGGTTGCAGGTCATAGTGGTCTCGTCTTTAAGGGGTGCTCCGCAGTATAAAGCATCCGTCGCCAACCGTTTTGATTTGGAGCAATACAAAGAAAAGTCACAGCTTTAAAACAATAGTGAATTTTCCACAAGTTGCTGTGTAGGAGAATCATTATTTGTAGACAAAACTCCAATCGGCATGGAAAGCTAATTTTCAAAATAACTATGCAACTAATAATTATTATTGTTGTGCACACATATAACAACAGTGTTTTTGTATCTTGATTCAAATTAAGTGAACGCGACGCGTTCTAGCTTCAATACACTGTATTATAAAATGTTCTTAGGGTCGGACGCGTTAACGTGTTATGAATGCTTGAACGTAGCAATCCATGCTACCTTGCTACCTCGCTGTTGCTCAGAGAGTACCTGTTATATTGTTCTGATAACGTTCCTTCAAAATAAAAGCATGCAATACCCTAGATATTAATGCATTATTTAATTTAGCCAATAATGAAATTAATCACTGTTAATAACAAAAAATCTAATCACCAAAATATGTTTTCTGTTAATAGACTCTAAATCCACTTGAATATTTTGATTTAAATATAAATCTATGTGGTGAGTCTGTAAATATAGTGTTGGGATTAGCAAACAGAACACGCAGGATTGGCAGGATATTGGATTCTGTGAAAAGAAGTTAGAAATGTAAAAATCTAGTTTGAAATCAGCAAAGTTCAGTAATTTATTAGAAATATGGTCATGCCATATGGTAATTAACTTGTATCAAGGTTGATTTAAGGACCGGGGGCGACAGTTAGGCCGAGGGCCGTAGTTTGACCACTAGAGGTTGTAGTGCTGCCCTCTGCACTAATTCAACAACCAAAGTCAGAGCAGCGATGTTATAACCCACTTGAATTGTGTTAATTTAAATGCCGGCTGTGAATTAGATTTGAATTTTTTGGAGTTTTACCTTTGGATACGGGTACTCCTTCCCCCTCGGGTAGAGGGAGCCTGTGAGCCGGGGCAGGAGCATGTTGGGAACCAGGGAGTCGTTGATGCTCAGGTAGGCCAGTCTGGAGCTGTCAGGTGACCACCAGTGGGCCACCTGTGTGTGCAACACCTCCTCTGGAACGGCCGGAGAAGACAAGTTGACCATCTGAGCCGGTAGAGGGGCTCAGTACCGCTCGTCACTGATAAATTAGGCTATGCTCCTATTCTTATTCTCAGCGTATTCTATATGTGGTGGATATATGACATTTTGATCAGCAGAGTTCTTACAGTAGCACATATTCCAGATCAACAAACAACTATGTGACTCAAGCAGCCGTCACTCATGTCAACATTTCGACAGCTCTCCATTGGTATTAGTGTATACCAGAGTTTATGTATTTAGTCTCCTTGTGGAGCTTTATTCCTTTTTTCAAGATTGCATTCTCAGTTAGGTCTTAAGATTGTGGCACATTGTTTGTTTTCTCGATCAATATTCCAACAGCCGACTTCAGTTCTTTAGAGGTCAGGCAGCATCAAAACCGTCTCAGATCAACATGTGTGAGAGTCCTTAGTTAACATTTGGCGTCAATAGCTCCAGGCTATCAAACCTCTGCACTGTTTGTAGCTTAATTAAGTCTTGAGAGAAACTTTGATTGGGTTGTATTCTCATTCTTTGCTGGTTCGTGCCGTCACTGCCAAACGCTGTGCACACACACGTCCATAAATCATCATTGGTTTATGGACGTATTCTGTCCAGAGCTCCGGATTCTGTAGCATGTGAATTCTCCCACACAGTGCTCTCTCTCTCTTACCCTCATACAGCCAGTCTGCGATGCCGTTGAAGATTCCCCCCTCCTGTCCAGAAGACGTGAGCCTCCACGAGCTGCTCTGAACATCTGCTTGGTAGTAAATGTTGTTTTCAAATATATATATCTGCAGAACAAAGATAACTATATATATTTAGAATGTAAAAACACAAACCGCAATGAGTATTGCATTATAGTGTAGATAACGGTGTATGCAGACACGTCTCATCTCACTTTGACGCGTCTTCAATGACTCCCTGCTGCCATTGAGTGAGTGTTGGTGGAGTCAGTGTAAACTCACCAGCCGCTGGCCCTGAATGCCCCACGAGGCAAACTGGAGGACCGAATCCGACACCTCCGGAGGGTTCAGCTCCTGCACCTCTCTGGTGAAAGGACGGATCAAAGAGGTTGATGCCAATGATGTGTTTCATCTCAAATGATTAAAAACATGAACTGAATTTAACACTATTTTCTTTTTCCTTGACTCTTGATTGATCTCTTAACACATGCGAGTCCAAATAAAATGTAATTCATTTGACTGCACCTTTTTATGTCAGTGGTTTATTACCATGAAATGAAAAGGAAGTGATATTTAAATGCGAGCTGTGTGTTGTTACGCTGTAAGTCTCTGTTTGCTCACCTTGTATACAGGTTGTAGATCAGGTACGAGGCCAAGAAAGAGTGCTGGAAGATCTAAAAGACAATCACAAAAAAACATTTATACTATTCTAATGATAGTAGCTTTGTTCTTTCCCTAATGGGAGGCAGTACTTAAGATAATGACAACTAATAAAGTAGATCACTCATGTGTGTTGTCTTTAAATTCTATTCAAAATAATAGAAAAAACGCAAAACGTCCAGAGAGAATCAGCTTTTCCTCAGATATAATTTGTACTGTAGGATGATGCTCTTGGTATTTAATTGGATAGTTGTAACAATAACACAGCACGGATTATGATTTCAGAGAAAGCGAGAGTGAAGGGGGAGCAATGCGTTACTGTGCTCAGCTGTTAAAGTGACATGATATGAATGATGACGAGTCAAATTGGGCCTGCAGAACATTCATTGAAAGATTCAGACTTGAAGCAACAAGCATGTCTTCTCCGTATATATAAACAAATATAAAAAAAAAAATGCATATTTCAAATCTACCAGCATACATTTACTACAAACTGTCAAGACATTGAATAAGAGCTAAATAAAAGATTTGTTTGTTATTTGTTTAAAGTAAATCATTTCACACTAGATGGTTCTATTGCAATGGCCTGTAAATTCACATACGTATTACTTGTTAGATTCCTTTTCATATACATACACAACCATCTTATACCTTCAGTTGCTCTTCCCTGTGTGTGCGATGAATTGACCAGAGAATATCCCCAACTTCGTGTTAGAATGCCGTGGTTCATTTTCCCTGACGTAAACTAGAATCCGCCTTGGGCATCCACCACCTGGCCTTCACAATTTGGACTTCTTCCTTTTCGCGGCACACTAACAAAAAGAGTCCTCCCAGAAAGCAAAAGGATATTTATATTTTGTCAATTGACTGCTCTTCTTCCTCAAGAAACCCAACATCCACATCACTGAGCAAACGGCCCTGGTGAGGGACTTCTCCCTGAGGACGTCTCCCTGAGGACGTCTCCCTGAGGACGTCTCCCTGAGGCTGTCAGCGGCGGGTGTGACACGCAGGACGGCAGCGATGTGTTTCCCTGTGTGCGCCTCCCGTAAACAGTTGCCATTATCACCACATGGCTGGCGCTTGCCTCATTTGGATTGAGATACCGCAGGCCGACGCGTTGTTGGTTGAGTCCTCGCGCTGCTCACATTGTCTGTTGTTAAGACAACGCTGAGAGTCGGTTATGGAAACACAAAGCTTGGCATTGTTGGAAGGCTGAGATTGTGAAAAGGAGTTTATGGCTGAAATGTGGAGGGAGTGCATGGGCATTGGTTTTGGATGTCAGATTGCGGTGCACTGACATTTGGAACCAGCTCATTAAATGCAGACAGAAGAGCAGTGTGTTGTTTTCGCCAGAAGTGGAAGGCCTTTTTACACAGAAGATGTGATATCAGGAAGGTAAGACTTCTCCTTTCGGAATTATTTATTTTGTTAAAGAGATGATGTAAAGTCTGTAAAGTCTAGCCGATGCAGAAGCACCTTGAAGCTGCATTCTCTCTAATGGCCAGCAGGGGGTCGCTGTTATTGAATTCTACAAATAAATGACCCTACTTCTCACCCTTTTTCATTCACAATCTTCCTCTTTGGTGTTCTGTGGTGGGAGGGGGGAGGGGGGGGGGGAGAGTTGTCTTTGTGCTGTAAAACACACAATGACTGTTTTTGTTTGTGAGTTGATTTGGTGACCAAAGAGTTTCCCCCCCAGGTTTGATAGGATTACCCAACCCGACCTATTTCTCTTCCCCACTTTATAAGCTTTAATGAGAGAATGAATAATTGAATTCAGTGTGTTGCTTAAAGGATATACAGGCAGCGACAGCAGCTTATACTTTTATTTTGTAATGTATTTGATTCTACCGTATTCCATTCGTCTTGGGTGCATTCACACCTGGGCTTAGATTTACCCGCCTGTGATCCGATCATCCATAATGCACGTTGATGCCCGGTCTGAACGGAGTCCCTTCCACCTTGGCTTTCATACATCCGTCCCAGAACGCCCCGAAAGATCATCTGCTTCCTGACATCAACCCTTAACATCCTGCAGTAAGCTCCTCATTTCACTAAGCGTTTAAGCTAATGAAGTCAAAGATCAACACCACTCTGATTTGTCCAAGAGTGCTTTATGGACCAGCAGTGGACACAGATGCATCACAATGCAGATCCGTCTGTAGGTGGTTCTCATGCGTATTGTGACACCCTTCATTTCTGTTCACTCTCAACTCTCCTCAATGCTTTTGCAGGTGATGAAGGATTTCGGGTCTTCAGATACAATAACTACATTAACGTGCATTAAAACATCACCAACAAAGGACGCTCTTGTGATGTTCTCCAGCAGTACAGTGTAGCGGAGAGCCTGGCTTGATTATGATGAATTCATAAGACAACAGGAGACAGTGGTGCAGCAGCAGGCCATTACTCTCCATAGATTTAGGCTGTCACTACGATGATGAACACACCTGCTCCGTCCATCTCAGGAGGAGACGCCACCTTAAAAGCCTCTACCGTCTCCATCCCATCGAGCACACCCAGCTCATTATCCAGCCCGCTCTGTTCGCTGACACAAGATCATTCCTGCAGCCAATCGAATTGCACGTACACGAAAGAGCAGGGCGGGTGGACGTGGGGGGGCAAGCAATTTCACCAGTATTAGACACAGGGACCTGTTTCTGGAGCGATAAATGACACGTGCAGTTTCTGCAGCAGAACAAAGTCACAGCTGCTGCTTTCTTTTTTAACAAAAAACAAGATGTGAAGAAAAAGGCTTGTGGAGTACAGTTTAACCATGTGACCAACACTGAACTCTAATCACAAAAATGTTCCTTTTCCACCTCACTGTATTATGCACGTGTTTCTACAAGTCTGCAGTCAGCATAAAACATTAGTCCTACAGAGGAGGCAGATGGAAGGTGATCCCTGGATTGGTACAATGATCTAGATGCAGAGGGAAGCAAATCAATGTGAAAATGAGCCATTGACTAGAAAGTTTCCATGTAATGTTGATTTTTAACTCTGATGATCCCCTCAGTATGTTAATGCATACCTCTGCATATTGAGGATTACCACGGAATGTACTGCACTTCTTTAACGTTTCATAAGTCGTCATCATCATAAGTAACTGCAAGTAAACTAATATTTCTTTATTCTCTACAGATATTGGTGGCCTTGAAATCTGGAGAGACTTAATTAGATCTAAATAAATCAATGCACTTCTCGTCCCGGTGTGTTGTGTTTTGTTTGGTATTAGCATTGTGATCAGCATTTACCTGCCCTCTCGTGTCCTGTGTCAATGTAACTTCCCGTTTCATTTGTCATTCACGTTCCCTCGTCTCCTCAGGTACTTTACTTCCTGCTTTTGTTTAGTTTATGAAACTATGATCATCACGCCGAGCTGCCCCTGATCAGCACCTTATCACAGGCATCGTATGCATTCCTTTACCTTAGAGACGAATCGTATCGACACGTTTCTCTGTAATCACAAATCCCTCTGATCTTTTTAAATACATCTTCTCTCCCTTACAACTGCCCTCTCCACACTGCAATGTTAATGAGTTCCCCAGGATTGTGTACACAGCCCGTTTCTATCTTTAGCCACACACCTCCGAGTCCAGAGTCCCTTATCGCTCCTGCATGATTGCGTCACGTATCTCAGCTCTAGAAGAAGAACAAAGGACACAAACAGCTACCGATGAATGGTGTTGTGGTGGTTAGCAGCAAAAAGGTCCTGGGTTCCATTCCATCTGGGGGCCTTTCTGTGTAAGGTCTGCATGTTCTCCCTATGTGTATGTGGCTACTCCGGCTTCCACCCACAATCCAAAGAAATGCTCTGGGGATTGACTTCATTGGTGAATCTAAATGGCCCGTAGGTGTGTGGATGGGAGGGTTGTTTGTCTCTGCGTCAGCCCTGCGATTGACTGGCGACCAATCCAAGCGGCAGCCCGGCTGTTGCCTGATGTTGGCTGTGATTGACCGTGTATGAAGGGTGAGTGGCTCTGAAGATGAGAAACTGACAGCCGCAGTGCTGCAGTAAACAATGTAGGTATCACGGAAACAGGAAAGGAACAGGAAGATTTGAAGTATGCATAAGCGTTGACAGTCCTGGGACAGGCAGCGGGCTTTTTCTTATGGCAAGATCTTCCACGGTATTGTGCAGAAAGATCCAGATCCGTCACCCAGATTGATTTTAGAAAGTTTGAATAGCCACAAAAAGCTTTTCAGTCCTGCTAAAATCAGATTCCAAAGTGTGGAGGTGCTGAGCAGAATCCATGCAGCTTCTAACAGAGCGCAGTGGAGGAGAATGACATTCAGAGGACAGACGCAGGAAAAGTCTGCTCTCACTTCCCCAGCTTCGCCCTAGCATCCTAAATCACATCCACTCTAATGCACCACCTCTGTACCGCACAGATGCACAGAGAGGGGAGCTGCTGTTGAAATTCATATAATCTGCCATTATACATATAATGTAGGTACAAATGAATATCTTCGAGGATTTTTCATTTGCAATATTACAATTTTCCATCCTGGACAATGTGCTAATAAGAGTAATAAGAGGTCTGCAATGAAGCCATATCCATGTTTCTTGTTCACTGCTGATATTGCAAATTAAATTAATTTATTAGCTGAAATAGCACAAATTCAAATTAAGAAGAATTAAAACGAATCTGGAAGGAACTACTGTCCGTTTTATTAAATGATCAAGATGGGAATAGTTTTGCTGTTCAAATCTTGACCCCCCCCCCCCCCAATTTCTCAAGAACATAAAGTTTCTAAAACTCTTAAATACTGTTTGATTGAGTCCTACTTGCCACATCGGGCCCTGGTGGCGCTGCCGGCTCTGCCTCATCCTTGGTATTGGGTTCCTGATTCCCGGCCATCCTGGGAAGCCTAACGTGCTGTGCTGCTCCGACCTGTTCCTCACCGACAAGCTAAATATACAGTGCCTTGCATTGCAGGGGCAGTATTCACCCCCCTTTGACTTTTTACTGAGATTCAATTGCAGGCACTGGATTTATTCCAACAACTA